TTAGAAAAGAAAGTGAAGATGAACGAGCTGGAGCAACAGCTCAGCAATGCATCTCAGCAGGTAATGTGTACTGAAGTGAACATATCTGTGTTGTCTGTGTGTGTATGTTTCAGTTTCAAGTGATTAATTGCTTTGATTTATAGGCCGAATCACTTGTTAAAGCTCAACAAGACATGGGAGAGACGTTGGGAGAGTTAGGACTAGCGTTTATTAAGCTGACCAAATTTGAGAACGAGGAGGCCTTGTTCAGCTCTCAGAGAGTGCGGGCTGCCGACATGAAGAATGTGGCAACTGCTGCAGTCAAAGCCAGCAGATTCTATCGGGAGTTAAATGCTCAAACCGTCAAGCATTTGGTAATTTTGTAACCCTTTTGTTTGTCATTGCATTTGGAACTATAAAATTGGTTTGGTTAGTAATGTTTATGTGTGTAGTACATTTTCTTCAGCTGTTTTTCATTGTTACTTTAGAAGGAAACCCATCAATTGTAATAATGACTGTTCATACTATGTGTGTTGCAGGATACATTTCATGAATATCTCGGGCTAATGTTAGCTGTCAACGGTGCATTCTCAGATAGGTCAAGTGCTCTGTTGACAGTGCAGACTCTTCTATCAGAATTGGGTTCGCTGCAATCACGAGCTGAAAAACTTGAAGTTCAATCCAATAAAATATTTGGCGGTGACAAATCAAGGATTCGTAAGCTAGAGGAGTTAAATGAAACCATAAGAGTCACCGAGGATGCTAAAAATGTAGCAATCAGAGAATATGAGCGGATCAAGGTGCCATTATACTCCTCAAATTATTTTTAATGTACTACTGCCAAGGATAATCATTCCCGTATGTGCTAGTTAAATATGTCAGTAAGTACCTTGTGAAGGCTTTTGCAGCCCAAAGGCTCTAGTGTTTGCCGCTGTTTTAGCTTTATGCAGAGTTATTTCTTTTGTTAAATCGTAGGTCCTCATGTTTGTTTCCAGTGCTTCTCCCACGTTATGTGTAGCTGTCCCTTTCGTGTGCTTTGCATTATTGACCCTATACTGTGTCTAATCTCACTCCTTTCAGGGAATTTACTCACTCTGATTTGTAATCTTATAGGTGATAACCTTATAGCATTCACATAACCATATAGCATACAAGCTCACAACATTTTGAAGTACATGACACTTGGTGTTTGATGACAATGTCATATGGCTATTTTGATCACTAATACTTGGTTGTTTACATGGGTTATCAAAAACTAGGTAGTGTAATGTTCCTATTTATTATTATGGTATCTCAATACCTGGCGGCAACATTGCCATATATCCTGTTGCTGTCGGCCATTGCTTTTGGCTTAGGACTCTGGTCTGGTGATGTGATGTGATGTGATGTTTGTGAGGTCTAGCCAGAGCCTTGCACCTGTATGAGGGTACTAGTTAATCTTGTAAGCCACCACCACCGAGCCTGTTCTTCACAATGAGGAACGACTTTAAGTAGTGTAGGTCTTGGATGCTGTTGTTGTTGCGTGCGTAGGATGAAGTGTATGCTTCTGGAAACCGAGTTTCTTTTTCTTTACAAACTTTGTGTTATTCAGTACCTGAAATGATCTTGTACTGTTACAGACCACCATTGCATGTTTTGTTGCTAAGAAATTTGAATATGCATAAATTACATTTGGTTTTGATGTGTCTGTTTCAGTGTTTCAGGTTTTTATGACGAACTATTGCATCCATTTGATCTCTTAAACCTGTTGTTTTGTCCCTTTGTGATAAAGGCTATCCAATTTTTTTAATCCCGGTGAAACTTTGAATGCCCTTTCAGCAGATGCAAATGGATCTATTTGTATATTTGACATTTACATAATATTGGAAATATTCTAAATGCATACTGTTTTTCCCTGTATAGTTGAAATATCTCTGTTTAATTGTCAGTATCCTCAGCAGAACTTAGAATGATTTGATTTTGTTGAAATGCAGGAAAATAACAGGAGTGAACTTGAAAGACTTGACAACGAGAGGCACGCTGACTTCTTGAACATGTTGAAGGGATTTGTGCATAATCAGGTACTTACTGCTTGCATTGTTGTTCACCTAGGATAGTTATAGCTCTCTATAAGAGTCTGCATGTAAACTACTTTCGTTCTTTCATTGATTTCATTCCGGTGTTATGAGATGGATAATCTGAAATGCCCCGCTAGATAGAAATGTTAAACAGAATTTGGAACTTGTTCCTGTGAATGTGCTCATGCATGCTTTTCACCATTTCGTTTACCACTTGTTATGAGTAATGAGAATCAGTGGATGGTTTCGTTTGTAAAGGCCTAAAAGGGATGCTTTGGGTAAGTGAACGAATGCATCTGTGAGAGAGAGGCTTAGCTAAGAGTGGATTTGCTGTTGGGACAGACTCTTAAATGTTAATTCTTTTGGCATCATTGTTCTTGTGTCATACGCAAGTCCGTCTTTGAATGCTTTCTCTTTTGTTGCACACTCCTTATTGCCGCTTTCACTTCCATGTAACGAATAGTTGTGTTGTACAATCAACAGGTGGGATACGCCGAAAAGATAGCAAATGTGTGGTCAAATGTTGCAGAGGAGACCAGTCCGTATGCGAAAGAGAGCCCTTGAACATTGTGTTTGTAAATGAAATTTTCACTTCTTTTTTTCTTCATATTTATATTGATACCCACTTCAAAGTAAATTGCATTACATTCATAAGAATAAAACGAAAAAAAATGGAGCTCCGGGTAGTTTATAAACTTTAACTTTCCCAAAGTTGTATCTGTTAGATAGATAATCGTGCGATTTTAGAGTTGATGCTGTAAATTGCTTGCTACTTGTTTGATTGTGGAGCTTTTTAATCCATGAGTTTCTGAACGCGAGCTGGTGCTCGGCTCTCAGCTGTTGGCTTCAATTGTTTGCTGATTCCTTGTTGCTCGTTTGCTAATTTGTTCGACATGACGTTGTAAGATAGTTTTGTGATATGAAACCTAACAAAATTCCTGCTCTTCAAGGTGAGGATGTTTATGTTGTTTTGCAAATTTTAATTTGATGTTTGAGCCTGTGATCAAGGATGTCCCCTTTGGATGATTGGGGGAGATTGGATTGAATTATAGATGTCCCCTTCGGATTATTGGGAGAAACTGGATTGTTATCTTTATTTCTAGGGAACTTTAACGAAAAGTTTCCGGTACTGTTTATTTTAACGAAAAATCGTATTTTTACATTAAAAAGTCAATTATGGTACTATTTATTTTACCTTTTATTTTATCTTTGTTGTTAAAACTCAAAATTTTTAAGCTCTTTTCCCTAATTTTCCTTTATATTCTGTATGTTCATCTATAAAACTACATGTATCAATCTGGCTCTGTGCAGGACATCTTGCTTTTAGTTGAAAAACACCTCACTTGTACTCAATTTTCTTCGATCTGGATTATATTTGTAGGTTCTAAGTTATAAAAAAAAAAATTGAGTTTGATGCTTATTACGGAAAAAGTACGATACTTAAAACCTAAAATCGAAGTTTTAAAACCTAAAATCAATGCTCGAAACGGTTGACCTTTGGCTTTCATTGGTGAAATTTGTTTCAAATGTTGAAATATTGTTAAGAGAAATGTTGAAGGGACTTTTTAAAAAGTGGGCCTTTCTGTATAGTATAATATTTTATAAGGAAAACTAACCAAAAGGGCTTGAAAAATTTAACTTTTAACCAAAAACCACATTGAAAGTTTATTTAATGGTTAGTACAAATCCCATTATTATATCAGCCCAAATACAATAGTCCAGACTAAATAATATTGTGGTTTGTCAATTTTACCCCTAACGGATGTGGTTAACCTAATTTACCTATTCTGTTAGATTACTCGGTTTGGGGTTAGCCGAACATATAAACTAATTGAATTTTAATTTTTGCCGACCAGTTTCAGTGGGATTTTCAATTTTTTATGAATCTGGTTGAGTGGTTTGAGTAATGCTTGCCGACGAATGTTGAGAGCGCATTTTGAAATCGTGATCGCCGTTGTTCTATTTTTCCGGAATAAACATTTGTTTCAGAACAGATTCGCAGTAGTTTCATATTTTGAGATTCTATTGAATCGTTGTCATCGGTGTTGTTCGTTGTGCTTGAATATTTTAACTGGAGTGATCGTCTTTCATATTTGGTTAGATTTTCGTTTGGAGGTAATCGACATTGTTTTTGCAGTTTTGTATTCGATTTTGAATTGGATTTTTTGTTTAATTCGAATTCGATTTTGAATTCGTTTTTGTATGTAATATGCTTCGCTTTTATTTGACTTTATATATTGTTGTAGATTTGTTTTCAGATTAGCAGATTGATTCGGTTTGTGAACTTTTCAGTTAGGAGTTTCGAAGAATCTCAGGTAAGTTTTGATTTGTTTGTTTGTTTTTTTTTTTTTTTTTTTTTTTTTTGAATTGGAATTCGATTTTGAATTCTTTTTTGCATGAATTATGCTTAGCTTTTTATTTGACTTATATATTGTTGTTGATTTGTTTTCAGATTAGTAGATTGATTCCGGTTTGTGAAATTTTCAGTTAGGAGTTTCTTATTTCGAAGAATCTCAGGTAAGTTTTGATTCTTTTTTTTTTTTTTTTTTATATTGTATGTTGGTCATCTTGATTTTGTTTTCTTTTTCAGAAATTTATTATGAATTAATTCGTGTTATACACATTTGATGTTGTTAACATTTTTTCAGAAATAGTGTTCTTTTTTTTATGAAACAGTGTATATTTCAGTTTATTTTCTGTTTTTGTGATTCTTGTGTTTTATAACTAGTGTAATTTTGTTCACTTTATATGTATATTGTTTAACTAATAGGTGTTCATCACATTTTATGTTTTTAACATTTTTCAGAAATAGTGTTCTTTTTTTACGAAACAGTGGATATTTCAGTTTACTTTTTGTTTTTTTTTGTTTTGTTTTTGTTTTTTTTTTTTTTTTTGTGATTGTTGTGTTTTATAAATAGTGTTATTTTTGTTCGTTTTATATGCATATTGTTTAATTATTAGGTACTGATTTGTTTTACAAAGATTTGAATTTAGATTTGCAACCGATTAATAAACAGTTGTTGTTTATTAATAAACAGTTATGGAGAATGGTAAACTAGCTCGGTTTACATATGGTGGTTTATGCGTCGTTAGTTCTATTTCATCATCTTCTACCTTCAATCAGATTTGCATTGATCTTTGTTCTAGGTTTAAGGGTTTGAGAGTTGGTTGTTTTGAGTTGCGATATGGTTTGAATGAAAATCCTAATTGCGTGTTAGATTGTGATGCCGATGTTCTAAACATGCTGATGGTTCTTGATGTTGTTGGGAAATCGATTGTAGAAATATTGGTTATAGACAAATGTGATGGTTCCATAGTTCAGTTACCTTCGGAAAGCACATCTTCTTCTTGCCGTACATTAGACTCTATGATTGTTTCTAGTGAAAATGATCATTTAGGAAAATATGGTTCTTACGGTGTGCACAATTATATGTCATGTGAATGGGACAATTACATAGAATCTGAGGGGCAAGTCTTTAGGGGAGGTTGTGTTGATTTCCGAGATAAGTTGAAGAAGTTTTCTGTTGAATGTGGTTTTGATTTGAAGTATTTGAAGAATGATAAGAATCGCATTAGTGCGGAGTGTTCTAGGAAGGAATCTGATGGCTGTCTTTGGCGTGTGTATGCATCCAAGTGTGATATTAATAACTTTTTTGTTATTCGGAAGTTGCATAATCTGCATACATGCAAGGGTATGATTCGAAAGAAGAAAAACAAAGTTGTTGGCCGACAGTTTGTTGCTTCTCTTATCAAGGATAAGGTTCAATCAAATCCTCTTATTAAACCGAAGGAGATCATTTCAAATTTAAAACAGTTTTATGGATTAGATATCGATTATTCTACTGCCTATTTTGGCAAACAGAGGGCAGTTTTTTGAGTTAAATGGTGATGATGTTGATGCTTACAAGTTCTTGCCTTGGTATGTTGAATATGCTCGTTCAAGCAATCCTGAATCTGTTTTTGAGCTTGAAGTTGTACCGGAGAGCAATAGATTTCTTCGTTTGTTTATTGATTATGATGCATGGATAAAAGGTTTCATGTTTTGTCGCCCGATGTTATTCATTGATGGTACTTTTATCAAGAGCAAATACAAGGGAACACTTCTGTCTTGCTGTGCAAAAAAATGGTAACGATGGTGAGTTAATAATTTTAGACTTTTATATTGGATATTATTTGTTTATGTTTTCTTACTGTGCAAAAGAAACATATCCAGAACTAGTTGAAGAACAGTTTAAGAAATAGTTCAATCAGTCTCATAAATAGGTGATACTTTGACTGTATCTGTTTTTTTTTTCTTTTTTTTTTTTTGGTGCATTGGTCTTTGATTTTATGTTCAAATAAAGAAAAAAGGTTGCAGAAGTAGTTCAAACAAAGTATACTAAATAGTTCAATTACAGTTTCAGAAGTAGTTGACATTTGACAGTGCATTTTCACTTTTGCTGTGTAGAGATTTTTGAGGTTGCTTATGCTATTGTTGATTCAGAAACGATAGCAAATTGGAGATGGTTCTTGGCAATATTATCTGGTATATTGAGGCCTCAAGGGAGGGTGATCACATTTATGTCGGATAGACATGATGGTATTTTGAAGAGCATTCGAGAATTCTTTCCCGAGTGTCCACATTCATTTTGTATTGTTCATTTGAAACAGAATGTGAGTACTTTATTTCCAAATGCTGCTGGTGAAGGACTAAAAAAGAAAATGATGAATCTATTGGCAAATTGTGCGTACGCATGTACCCCATCTGATTTTGATGATTGCATGGCTGAATTCAAGGATAATGGGCAAGGGCATGTGAAGAATTTTTTGTGTGATTTTCCAAAAGAGAACTATGATATTGCCCATTTTCCTGGTAAGAGATGGGGATCGATGAGCAATGCACTTTCAGAATCTTTTAACGCCATGGTGTCGAATAGTCGTTGTATGCCACTTATGGATCTTCTTGAAGACATTAGAGTTCGGTTGATGGGTAGTATGGCTGAGAAAAGAATAGTTGGTCAGAATATTCATACGATTTTGTGTCCAAAGAAAGAAAATGAGATGAAGTTGATGTTGAAGGAGGGCATGCATTGGAGGATTAGTCGTTCTGATGCGGATGTTTTTGAAGTTAGGACAGAGTGGAATCGGTTTGTTGTTTGTCTGGATGATAGGACATGTTCTTGTGTACAATGGCAGCATAATTGTTTCCCATGTTCTCATGCTTTGCAGGTGTTGCAACATGATAATCGTGATGTTTTTTATTACGTTGATGATTACTGGAAAGCAAGCTTTTATCGGAAAACATATCAATTTGTCATGCATCCATTTTCAGATTTGGAAAAGCCGAATGTTGATACTATCATAAATGGTGTGAGGCCTCCAATTACAAAGATTCCGTCTGGAAGACCAAAGAAAACTAGGATCAAATCTGCTGGGGAAATCAGTGGGAGTAAGACTGTCACTTGTAGTAGGTGTGGTTGTTCAGGACATAACAAGGTTTCATGTAAAGTTGTTATACAAGAGGGGTGATTTTTTTTCTTTTTTGTTTTGAGAGATGGGAGTTTTTGGTAATATGTACCAGATTTTCATTTTGGATATTTTTTTTTATTTTTTTTCAATTGGTGTTTGGGAGTATGTAATAATTGTTGATTTGGAATTATGTTCGAGTAATAAATATGAATTCAATGTTTTAGTATTTCCAGTTTTACGAAACAGTATGTTGAGTTTGATAAATAGTTGAGTTTGATAAAACAGTGAATACATATCTATGTTTATGGCTTTGTGGTTTCAATATCTGTTTGTAGGTTGTATGTAAGTTTGTGTGTTGCATTTTGTAGGAGGCAAGTATGTTGGTTTTCATTCTTGATCTAGTTAATATTCCATTTTAGGTAAGAGAAAATGAAAAAAAAACCACACTACTTATGAAAGTGAAGTAGAAAACCACACTTTGTTACCAAAGCAAACTGAACTATATATCAAAATGAATTATTTATGATAGTGAACTAGAAAACCACTTTTTTATCAAAGCAAATTGAACTATTTATCAAACTGAACTAGAAACCCACACTTTTTAACTAAGCAAACTGAACTATTTATCAAAATAGATTAAAATTTAGATTAAGTCATGAAACATATATATATATATATAGAGAGAGAGAGAGAGAGAGTTGTGTCAAACATGTTTGACAATGACATTTGTAAATCATAGCAAAAGTAAGCTTGAACATGTAAGTATTGCTTCAGTTTAGACTAATACTTTCCACCATCTCTCAGATTTTCATCTTGAACCTTAAAAAGTACATCTGAATCAAAATTACATATAATGCGTATTTTTTATTTTTTATTCTAATGTCCAATGCTTGTGAGTTGTTGTGAGATTTCGATATATGCTTCTTGTTCCATTGTCCAGCTGAAATCATGGTTCATCAAATCCACGAGGATATGTTTCCTTGCTTTCATTACTTGATGATCTTTGATACATCCTTGAACCTTCCGGTTAGTTGATAGTTGGTCAATGAAGCTCATCATGTATAAGCCACAATCTAATCTGATTTTACAAAGAAATTTCATGGAATGATTATGAGTATTATAATGAAATGAAAATGTGTGGTACAAACTATTTCTATAAACTGTATCAAATTATTCATATTGTTTCTGAAACTGCAGTAAGCACAAACTATACATATATATAACTAAAATGCTTTTAATTTTATAACGTACGATGTTGGTTTCTGTTGTGCACAGGTTCTGTCTTCTTTGATTTGGAATTCAAAGTCACTTTTGATGGAATTAATTTTCTTCGTTGTGGCTTGAGTTGAATCCATAGCATTTGAATTACTTGTTGATTTTCTTGCTTTATCCAGCCAATATTGAACAAAGTGGCCCTGCAAAAATTTATAATGTAATAATAAGATGATTGTTTTCTATAAATATGACAGAGTTTTTTGGTTGTGCGTTTTTGCTTACCACAATTTCTGCATTTTCCCAGTAGCAATCAAAGTCCAGATCTTCATCTGTTGTGCTTTGTCGAATAGAATTGTAGTGAATCATTTCTGTATTTTTTGTGTCCAAAACTACCAAGGAGAAATGGTTGTAATGAAACAATGGGAAGAAAATCTTTGATACTATTCCATATTGGTCCATCAATTGGTTGTAGAGCCTTTCCTTGTTTTGCAGAGTTGTTTCAATGCTTTGTTCATTGATGTTGTGCTGTTGAAAATGAAAATTATCAAAACATCATAATTACAGATTAATTGTTCTAATTTTTATATGTATATGTAAATAATTTTTTGCAGAATATTAGTTGTTTTGTTTGCTCACAAAGATTGTTGTGGAGACATAGAAGTTCTTTTGTTTCATGATGTTCTCTTTTTCTCTTTTCATGTAGCAGAAAGAATCAACAATCTGAGTTGATGTAGGTCCATTTGCCATCAAACTGTGCAGGTCTTCTTTCAACACCATTATTCTGTAATAGTTGAAATCTGTAGTTTCAGCCGTCCAGTATTCATCGCTGCAGGACAGTGCAAAAGTATTAGTTATACAATAATTCGTCAGTGCTTATAAAGTTATGGGAGTGTGTAAAAACTTCAGTTAAGAGTTTTGTTTTGTATTACTTACCTGCTGTCTATTGACCAGAATTGAGTTATTCTTCTTCTATCATCTAGTTTCAGCATCTTGTACACTTGAAGTTGTGTCCAATTCACACTGCTGTCTATGTGATTTGTTGCTGGAAGGTCATCCGGTTGTGAAGAAGGCTCATCTTTTAAATCCAGGTTGAATGATGGAATTTCACCCAAGAGTTTCTTTCTGTTTTTTGTCATTGGCTTTGCTGCTTTTTGGCTGAATGTTTGCTTTTTTTGACTTGTAAATCATTCTTGTTGAGAGTATTGTTGCTTTTTAGAGCTTCAATATCTGTTTCTTCAATTTGTTGCTTGTTTGATTCTGAAACTGGTTTGGCAATTTTCCTTTTTCTTTTTCTTTGGAACTGGTTTGTCATTTTCCTTTTTCTTTCTCTTGATTGCTGTTGGTGGTTGGAGTGTTTGGCATCTTTTCTTCTGCATCCTTGATTCACAATTGTTCTGTTCTTTAGGTTGTGTCTCCCTCTTCCTCTGCCTTTGTAGTGGTTATTTTTTTTGCACCTTTTTCTTTGCAATTTGCATTGGTTCTCCAACTTCTTCTTCAGTAGTGGTGTCAATCTGTAGATGAATTGTCTCCTTCTTCGTACGTGATCTGTTTTCTATTTTTCCAAGCATTTTCCTTTGTTCTGTCCTCTTTGTTGTTTTGGATATCATTTTGACATTGGCTTTGGTTGAGTTTGACATTTGTACAGTTATTCTAACTGAAACCATCTGTCAATATAATTTTTATTAGAATGCAACTTGATCGTAAACAAATAAAAATCAGTATGAGTACACAATTATATTTGAAACATACCAAGGTGAATTACTATTTATGGAATTGGAAAACATTTTTATAACTGCATAAATCTTTATAAGATTCATATAACTAAATAAATTAGAAATAAAAATATACAATATGAGGTGTATTATGTGTAAGATCTGGAAAAATTGCAATTCTATTTATAAATGAAGCAATTGTAAACTGTTTCGTAAACACTGTTTATTAAACTTTAAAAAACACAAACTATTTACTTGTTCGTGAATGCATCCCAGATTTTACTATTTCCGTACATTTCAATTCTATTTACAAATGAAGCAAATTGTAAACTATTTCGTAAACAGTGTTTATTAAACTTAAAAATCGTGAACTATCTTACTCAAATATAAAAATTACAAACAGAGAATCACACACTAGTTCGTGTAATAGCATAATGTATGTTTATATATTGAACGATTAGCTAGTAAATAGTCTTTTCTTGGGTGGATCTGTGATGGATTCGTACTGATAGTAAATAACAAAATAAATTTAAGCAAATAGTATAATATGGGTTTTGTTTAAGTTTATGCATGTTATTCTATATGCTTAATTCCAATAGATGTTTGTTATATAAACAATGAACCGTATGATTTTGTGAAATATGTTGAGAAAAATTGTAAGATTGTTACCTTTTGTTTATTTTCTGGGTATTTCTGCGACCAAGTTGCTCAGGGAAGTTGAAATTTGCGTGAATTCGTCCGTAAAAGAACTTGAATGATGTACGAAATCGGGGAAATGAGGATTGATGATTTGAGCTGGGGGCTGGGGGCTGGGTTTCTGGTTTTTTTTTTTTTTTATAGTGCATGCAGTTTCTTCATCGTGGCTTATCTGTGCGTGAAAATGAGAGTGGTGTTAGGGAGAGAAAGTGAAGTTAGCGCATGAGTGAAATGAAGGATGGGGTGCTGATTTGGAACTGAAAAAAAAAAAAAGCTGTTATTTTTCATTTTTTAGATATAGTGTGTACATATATTTCAGAAACAGTTTAAGTTATCTAGTTTTTTGTTTTGCATAAATTTATCTAATTTGGTAACTATATTTTTTGGATAATAAAAGGGAACTTTAACAAAAAAGGAAGTGTCAAAATGTAAGCATGTGAAATTTTTTAATATAGTTCTCATTCTTATAAGTTATAACTCAAAGAATCAGGTATGTGAAGTTGATTGGCTTCATACTAAACTTCTTTTTCATTTTTATATGGTTTCTTTAGATGAGTAATGGTATTAGGCCCCCTAGGGCAAAAAAATTATAAAACGTACGCAAGTATGGGATGGGCACCAGCATACAAGCCCACCTGAGCTCGGGGTTTTGTATGTAGATGTACATTGATATAAAATGTAATTTGTAAAACTCAAGCTAATGTAATAAAATCCTCAACAGGAATGTCATCATATTGACCATGTTTATTTTGTTGTCTTCTGTCTTCAAGTATCTTCTTCAGTCCATTTGCATAACTATTCTTGTGATTCACAAGTGCAGTTGCAATTTGAGCTCTTTTGGCAAATACTTCTTCCTTCTCAAAGGTGGCTTCTATTGGTTTGCCCTCTTGCACTTGGGTTGCAAATTGAATAACAAATATGCCACAATCCAATCTGCATTTTTTTTTTTTGGATAAACAAATAAGTATGACAGATAATGAGATCATATTATAACATTCGATGACATATTAAAAGTGAAAAATGAAACTATTTCTTGTTCGTAACACTGTTATGCAAACTGGAGCTATATCTGAAACTATATTATGACACTATTTTGCAAAGTCTAAATTTATAGTATAGTTTCGTACAATGATTTTGTTTTCTGTTTTCTGTGTCTCATTTTCCATATAATTGTAGTTAGATGACATATAATTACTGAAAAAATGGACTATTTGTTGATTTGTAATACTGTTTCGTAAAGTGTAAAGAGTGAAAAATCAACTACTTCTGAAACTTCTTATGACATTATTTTGCAAACTGCAAACTATTTTTTCAAGTATGAGTCTTGTGTTTGAATGTATGATTTTCATGGTCCTTCTTATGTGTTTGAATGTATAAATTTGATTGAAAAATACACATTTATTAATCTTACTTGGTTTGCAAATTGAATGACAAAATATGCCACAATCCAATATGCAATTTATTTTTTTTAAAAAAAACAAATAAAATATGACAGATAATGAGATCATATTATAACATTCGATGACATATTAAAAGTAAAAAATGAAACTATTTCTTGTTCGTAACACTGTTATGCAAACTGGAACTATATCTGAAACTATATTATGACACTATTTTGCAAAGTCTAAATTTATAGTATATTTTTCCTAGAATGATTTTTATTTTCTATCTCATTTCCATATATTTGTAGTTAGATGACATATTATTACTGAAAAAATGAACTATTTGTTGATTTGTAATACTGTTTCGTAAAGTGTAAAGAGTGAAAAATCAACTATTTCTGAAACTTCTTATGACATTATATTTTGCAAATTGCAAAACTATTTTTTCAAGTATGAGTCTTGTGTTTGTATATATGATTTTCATGGTCCTTCTTATGTGTTTGAATGTATAAATTTGATTGAAAAATATAGAGATCAACTTGTTGTTTGTACTTACGAGTCCTCCTTTTGTTGGGCGCAAGTTAAGCATCTTTCAATATCTATTGTGAGATTGCTGTCTCCTTTGAAATCTTTGTAAAATGCTTCTATTTTGTCTCTCTTGCCAAAAAAAAAAAAACAAAAAAAAACAACAAAAAAAATTGTATTATGAAGTTTGATTTTTCCTATCAGCATAAGAAATATAGTTTGTAATTGAATTATAGTTTTGTTCTTACCACTTGAACAGCATGATCAAAGTATAGGTCTGTATTCCCATGTACCCTCGGTAGTTTGGAATTGTAGTGTGTCATTTTTCCATTTTTAATGTCCAAAACTACCAAAGCTGAAGTGAAAGTAATGCTTGATCAATATGAAGACCTTTCCTACTTTATCCACATTATCTTGTAAGACTGTCTTCAATGTTTTGTCAATGTGCTCCTGATCAGTCTTGCTTTTCTCAATCTCCATATCATTCTGAACCAAGAATACACATGTATTTATTAATCTTAATTAATGAGCAACACTAATTCTTAAACTGAACCGAAAAATACACATTTTTTTTTCAAATCTCCATATCATTCTGAACCAAGAATACACATTTAAAGTTTTAAAGTGAATGCAAGGCCTTTTGTAGGAGGCAAGTATACAAAGCAAACTGAACTAATATCAAAGTGAACTATTTAGCAAAGTGAACTAGAAAACCACACTTTGTTACCAAAGCAAACTGAACTACATATGAAAGTGAACTATTTAGCAAAGTGAACTAGAAAACCACGCTTTGTTACCAAAGCAAACTGAACTACATATTAAAGTGAACTATTAGCAAAGTGAACTAGAAAACCACACTTTTTTGTAAACAAAACTGTTTGACACTTACAAATATGAATGAAGGAAGATATAGATTTTTTTGTTGCCTCATTTTTGATTCGTTTTCTGCCATTGTGTAGAACGAAGCATCAATTATGTTGGCGTCGATTGCTCCATCCACAAACAATGATGTCAGATCTGATTTTAGGACAACAAAGTCAGTCGCCATGGACCCTTGTCTTGGCTGCATCCAGAAGTAGTCCCTGTATCAGAAAATAAAACGTATTATATATCTATGTATATGTGTGTGTGTGTGTACACATGTATTAAGTTATGATTAATAATGTAAACTTACATTTTCTCTTGTCTGTAATATTCCTTGAATTTTTCTTTTGTCTTATCTTCAAGTAACTTGTACGCCCTTGTTGATGCAGGTAGATGATACCGTTTGTCAAGCTTTTGCTTTACAGGTTTCTTTGCAGCCTTCTTTGCAGGTTTGTTTGCTATTTCTTTAGCAATTGGATTCAAGGGTGATTCAACCTTGGGCTCCTCCTTTCCTTTCTCAATTATTGGTTCCAATGGTTGGCTTTCTGACTGAAAAATTGAAGGGCTTTCACTGTCACTCACATCATATATGTATTTTTGCCTTCTTTTGTTTTCTCTGGATGGGGATATAATCATAATGTGGATCGACATTTGGTTTACGATCATCCCTCCTTCGAATATTTTTTACTAGTGTTCTCGTCTTCTTTTTGGCTGTCTCTTTTCCTTATTTTTCAGCATCCTTGATAGTTGGAGTCTGCATTTGAACATCTTGTTGAACTCCGAAGGTTCCTTTTTCAGTGGCAGTGTCTTTTCCTTCATGTTCTTGATCCTCCTCAGCTTGATCCTCCTCATTTTCATCTGGATCATGATCAATTGCATGCCTTTGTTTTGGATCCTCCATAGCCACATCATTTTCAGTTGCATTCTCTTGAACTGGATCCTCAGTAGCAGTATCCTTATCATGTGTATGCTCTTCAACTTGATCATCATTATCTGGATGTTCTTTAGGTGGTTCATCCTCCTCTGGATCTTCCTTGGTTGAAGCATTTAGATCTGGTACTATTGCTTGATTTTCCAGTAGCTTCTTCTTCAAACTTCCAATTTCATCCAGAAGTTTATTTACTTTCATAGAAGCTGCTGTGTTATTTAATTGCAACTGTATCATTTCTGTGTTCATTGAACTAATCTTCTGTTTGTCCTCAAGTCGTTCTTGCAGAAGCTGTTCAATGTTTCTGTTGAGGGCTCCAGTTGTTTGATTCATTACAATTGAATTTGTGTGTATGTATGTTGTCGAGTGCATATATCATCATGTGACTGAGGACTAGATACCTCTTTTGATCCATGCTCGCACATCTTTTAAACTTTTCAAAATCTTCCACACCTAATGTGTTATCAATCCCGATGAAGTCCTTTTGATAACTTGCATCAAATTTCATGAATTCTTCTTGGTACAGTTGATCAAACTGTGACTGAGCTTCAGTGATGGTGATGCTTTGATCTTCTTCAGCTCCAACTTCAGTTCTTTTCCTTTTCCTTCCCGTTGTCTTCTTTTCCTTTTTCTTGGAAGACTCATTATTTTGTTGAGGATAAGGAATGACATTACATTCTTCTTGGTTGATGTTGGAATGCTCCTTTGTTGGTTCTTCAGAACAAGGAATACCTCCACCAATCTGCACAGTGACACATTAAATAGTTGTTAAATTACATACATAATAATGTCATTGTTTCGTAAACATTGTTTATTAAACTTTAAAAAACGCAAACTATTTACTGAATGTACAAATTATTAAAAGAGAATCACACTAGTTTGCATAATAGAGTAATATATGTTACTATTTATTGAAATACACTTTTCTTTTTGACACTATTTCTGTTTTATATAAATGACACTATTGCTTGATCTGTTTTATATAAATGACACTTCTGAAACTTTAAACTGTAAAGACCACTATGTTATGAAACTGTAAAGTGCAAAAATATACTGTTTATTGAAATACTTTTATTATTTGTCCTTACCTCAATTTCTTCAACTTGAATGTCTCTGATTGCTTTGTGGATTTTCGTTATGTCCCATCTTCCAATGGCAGGAATCATGTTTTCTCGCCCACTTATTGTCTCCACCAGATTGGTGTGAAGACAAATCCAATACTGCATGAAATAAGAACTTTGAATTACTTTCTTGTGTAATTTATAAGACATAATTCATGTTTTTTAAATATAGTTCTTATTTCTTACCAAAATAAGGGCAGTGCATCCGCTTGTTGTTGCTGATTCTTCTCCATTTTTCTTCTTTTTCTTCGATTTGTTAATCCTCTTGAACAAGTAGTCCCTCACTCCTTTTGCCCAGTTGTATTTTCTGATTTGGTCCAAAGCTCCACAAATTGTTATGAAGCTCCACGCTATGTAAGTTCCAGATGTTGCAAATAACAGTGATTGTAGCAGATGCACACATATAATTGAAGCAGTAGCTTTTGCCCCTTCAGGAGTTTTGTCTTGGACTGATTTTTGGTATGCTTCAACAATGTCCTTTTTTTTCACTATTTTTTGCTTTGCAAAGTATGCTTTGACAAAGCTGTCATTCATGTTCTTTGTGGATTTGTCTGTGTTTGGTAGTTCAACCCTTTGGTTGTTCAATCCAAATATTTCAACGACGTCTTCACTTGTTATTGCTTTTGGCTCATGATCTCCGAATTTGAACTGTTGTTGCTTGGAATCATAGCATTGTATGATCTTGATCAGATCCATATCAGACTTCTTTTTTCTGTCCGTTGCAACAATTTCATCATCCATGTAGAACTTGATTAGACTCCAAAATGGTGTCTCGGCCAAATGATTGATGACATCTTGGCGTTGTTGAAGCATTGGTCTGTACAATTGCATTGCATTTGCAAACCCGAAAACGTTGCATCTATATTGAACATAAGAAGTTGCAGGTCTTTTATTCTCTTTCTTACGTGGACTCTTTATAGCAAAAGTCTTTATTCTTAGTTTCTTTGTTCCGTCCATCTGTAAGAATAAACATAGTTTAATTATTACAACTATTTTTTACCAAAGCAAACTGAACTATTTATTAAACTGAAGTAGAAAACCACACTTTTTTACCAAAACAAACTAAACTATTTATCAAAGTGACCTAGAAAACCACACTTTTTTTACCAAAGCAAACTGAACTATTTATCAAACTGAACTATTTATCAAACTAAACCATTTAGCAAACTGAACTATTTATCAAACTGAACTATTTAGCAAACTGAACTATTTATCAAACTGAAGTAGAAAACGACACTTTTTAACCAAAACAAACTGAACTATTTATCAAAGTGAACTAAAAAACCACACTTTTTTTACTAAAATAAACTGAACTATTTATCAAGGTACACTAGAAAACCACACTTTTTTACCAGAGCAAACTGAACTATTTAGCAAACTGAACCATTTAGCAAACTGAACTATTTATCAAAAATGAAGTAGAAAACCACACATTTTTACCAAAACAAACTGAACTATTTATCAAAGTGAACTAAAAAACCATACTTTTTTACCAAAGCAAACTGAACTTTTATCAAACTAAACTATTTAGCAAACTGAACTATTTATCAAACTGAACCATTTAGCAAACTGAACTATTTATCAAACTGAACTATTTAGCAAACTGAACTATATATCAAACTGAACCACTTAGCAAACTGAACTATTTATTAAACTGAAGTAGAAAACCGCACTTTTTTACCAAAACAAACTGAACTATTTATCAAACTGAACTATTTAGCAAACTCAACTATTTATCAAACTGAACCATTTAGCAAACTGAACTATTTATCAAACTGAAGTAGAAAACCACACTCGTTCGTGAATGCATCCCAGATTTTACTATTTCCTTACATTTTAATTCTATTTACAAATGAAGCAAATTGTAAACTATTTCGTAAACACTGTTTATTAAACTTAAAAATCGTGAACTGTTTTGTAAACACTATATATTAAACTAAAACACCACCGGAATAGAATGTTGATTATATTTAAGCAAAGAAAACAACATATGAGGGCAAGAAAATACTATTTAAAGGTTATAAGAAAACGAGCAGTTATCAAAGTGAAGTAAAAATATACCATTTTGCAGAAACATTGCTATTCGAAGCATGCAAACTTACATATTACTGTAAAATCACCAAAAATATCAGAAATTTTGTGGTACGTACCTCTGTTTCTTCTCTGTTGCTTTTATTTCCCAAATTTTGTGTGTGTTTTCGTCTGGATGCAAATCAGAACTGTGAACTGGAAACATAATTCATTTTTTAGAATCTCAAACATGCAAATGCACATATTTAGTAAATTAAAGTAAGAAATCATCAAGAATATCAGAAATTATAGGTTCGTACCTGTGTTTGTCCGATTTCGACTCTGCAAACATACAGTTCGAATGTTTTCAGTTTTTCGTCTTCAAATGTAGTTTTTGGGTTGAGAAATTCCGGATTTGATGTGTAGATTATTGCTTGAAAACTTGAATCGAACTTGAAAACGCTTTGAGATCTTGACGTTTGGAGTAATGGAGGTTTTGATTTTTTGGTACGGTGTGAAGGGGCTGGTGAACATTAATGGCGTTGGGAGGGATGATGAATTTTAGTAACTTCGGCTAACGGGCCTGGGTTAGGCTCCGTTAGGGGCAATTTTGGAATATTAATTGTTATGCGGTTTGGGCTTTTTGGTGAGCCCGTGTGTTTTAGTTTTGTACGGCCTAAGATAAAAGTTTTGTGTCCTTATGATTAAAATTTAAGCCCTTTTCATTAAATAATAGTTTAGGGTGGTTTTTCATTAAATAAAAGTTAATTCAATCCCTTTTCATTAAAGCTCCCTTAATAATGTTAGTACGGAAATTGATGTTAAACTGTAAAGTAACTAGGAGTCTCCTTAACATATCTCTTAATTATGCAAAATAAATAATCAAATTTTTGCCTCATGGAATTAAAAGGAAAAATTCAAATACAAATTGCCACTAAAATTAACAAATTAAATTGCAAACTTTGAGAAGTCCATCAAATATCTCAAAGTAATGAATAATATCCTTACTGTAATTAAGGTTCTAAAAGACGCTAAACACTAGTTGGACGGCAACTTGAGGTATAGCATCTAGGCTCCTAGGCGCCTAAGCTAAAAACCTAGTGCCTGGATGAGAACTTAGGCGGACTATATGAATTTAAGTACATTTATTATATATTATATATTGGGCTTACATCTTGTGGCTAGGAATCAATTGTAATATTATTTTCATTTTTAATGTGTTACCATGCACAAACCACGGAAAGAGATCATCTCCAAATCTCTTCCACCAAAACCTAAGGATTAAGTGATTCGGACCATTGAAATTTGATCTAATGACTAAAATTATTATAACTTTTAAAATAGGCCTCTGTTTTTAACTGTTTGATCAAATTTTAAGGGCCCGAATCACTTAATCTGCAGACTTTGGTGGAAAAGATCCGGAGATGATCTCTTTCCCACAAACCACTTGTTTCACTACTCTCACAACCGTCCTCTCTCTTCTTCCTTTCTTGGTTATGTCTCTTCACCCAAAGTTCTCTTTGCTCCATCTCTCTTACAGTTCAGGCTCTAAACAAATAGTCCTGACGAGGATCTATTTTATAAATTGTAAAATAAAACAAAATATAAATTATAAAACATTAAAACAAATAAGCATTGATTAAGTATTTATTCAAATATTCAATATGACACGCCTCAACCCCGATATCCCCAAATATCAGGGTAGGCACGTGTTGGCGAACACTCGAGGGTGATGAAGCCATTTTAAACATGTGTGCAAATTAAAATATGTTATTAAGAAGAAATATAATAAAGCAGGAACGTATTCAGAGCATACAACTAACCAAGAATAAAGTGAAAGAATTATTATAGAAAGGTACGAACCGATGACTGTGTCCTACACAAAGGAGACTCAAAGATGCCTGAGCGGAAGTGCCCTGACGTCGGGATCATGTGCCTTGAATCTAAATCCTGAGGGGGGAGCAAAAACAAAAAAGGTGAGTGGACCAAAGTTATAATAAGTACTAATAGTAAGAAAGCCGTTTTCTTTTTAAACATACTAACCCCCTGTTTTGAAAATACATACAATACTACATAGTAAGTTTTTTGAAAACTCTAGCATGCCATGAAATCATTCAAAAAACAAGTACGAGTAAAACCATGCTCAATAACGATGTTATCGTCGCTCGAAGGCAAATCCATAAATCTCATCAATATTGTACTCTCTAGGGGTATCATAGTCGCCCGAAAACAGTACTTATCCATCACCCGAAGGTGAAGCTGTACAACACTGGGTTATGCTAGTGAAGAAACATGGTAGGCCTCATCACCCGAAGGCGAAGCTGTACGACTAGGGGTTATGCCGGAGAAGAAATATATACATAGATATCCTCAAGTATGTCCTATGGCCATAGACATCTACATACCCGTGTTGTGTGGATGTGTTGTGTGATAACCCACTAGATAAATACAAAAAACATATCTCAAAATTTCATCTCAAATCCGTATTCATAAATCCGTAATATCAATTATATTCGAAAGCCATAGAATTTCATATACGAGAATCCGATGATTCATAACCTTTCGTAAAACATAATTTCGATAAACCATAAGTATTTCGTAATGCAATTTAAATAAATCATAAATTATACGTAAACCATAAATATGGAAATCCAGAAAACATAATATAAAACATGCTTAATTTCTGAAATATGAAATGCATGCAAGCCTAACATTTTATAAAAACATGCAAGTTTAGAAGGGGTCCACCTACAAATATTTTGTTGCCTGGAACCGCTCAAGCTAGCGAGGATGGAGTCACTTTCCACCGATGCACTTAACTAGGGACCATTTAGTAAAACTCGACTACAATGTTAGAATTTGGGAAAATGGATGACGAATTTGGATTCGGCACGTCAAAAAAACATAAGGAGGGACCTCACGTTACCCCTAACGCGTTGCTGCATGAGCCACCACAAGGCGGCGACTGGCAACCCTGACTCATTGAAAAATTCAACAACTCTAAAAATTTCCAAAATTTACAATAATGAAGATCTCAATGAAGGAATAACTTTCATACATAGGCCGAAGTCCAATTCGACCGGGAAGTGGCCTGAAAACCACCACGAACCGTCGGGAACCTTAGATTGGGTGGTTGTCGATTTATCCTCTCCGATGCTCTGCCGCCCCCAAACTTGTTTGGGGTTTAATCCTGGCCTCAAGGGGAGTCGAGCCACAGTGGTGGTCGACAATAGTGGTTGCAGAAACGACGAATCGCCGATGCGATGTCCTCAAATCCGTCGGCTTCAATCTTCATGAATTAGGGTCAAATGTCTTCGATTTTGGGGTGGAATTGGTAGAGGGAGGGTCATGGAGTCGAATGCAGGTGGTGGCAACGGTCAATTTTTTGGGAAAACGCCGGCATCGACGTAGGGGTGTTCGTAGGAATTAGGTCGGGTCGCGAGTCGAATGGAGGGTCTGGGTTTGCACCCCTCTCATTTCTCTCATTTTCTTTCCATCACAACCACACACGTGGCATCATCTGAATGCTCCAGCAAAATCTGGAGTCTTCCAGATTTATGGTCAAATGACCATTTTGCCTTCAACTTCGTTTGTTAATAACTCTTTTGTTATAACTCCAAATTCGATTCTGCTTGCGCCCATGCGTTTGTCGTGACAAGTACTACGAGGATACACCAAGAAAACGGATCTTACGTGATACGACAAGGCAGTCAAACAAAGTCAACGCATTTACCTCGAACGATAGTTTCGTAATTTCATATTTTAAAATTATAAAAACCGTAATTTTTGGGGATGGTTCGTTACACAATAAGTATTTTACATTTTATTGAAAATCAAAATGCAAAATAAAAGTTATCAATTTTTTGTACAAATGAGAGTCGCGATCTAAATAGGTGCCTAGGTGAATTTAGACAGACGCTAGACAGACTAAACGGGTGCTTAGACACTAGACCGACGCTTAAGCAGATCTAGACACAAGCGCACTTTACGCGGGAATTTTTAGAACAACTGTAGCAAAACTTATCTTTCTTCTTCTTATAAGCAACCCGACCCAAGGGGGAAGGTTCATCTATAGCTAAGCAGTATGTACGACTTCAGATTTGCACTTATCACATGCCAGACACGTGACATCATGCCTGGCACCTGCCTTCTAAAAGAAGGGGCCCACCGAAAATCGAAATGATTCCAGAACCCAAAGGCTGCGTTTCCTCCAAGAACAAATCATCAGGATCTCTAAATGCTCTGTGAACACAGATGATCCCAACCCTCACCATCACCGCTGTCAGCAGCAGCGACAACACGCTCGTCACTAAGATCGCGATCACGAGCGACTGCTCCGACGATCGGCGCCCGTAGAAGAAGATCTACGCTCCGGTAAGGGAGACGAGGGTGAGAAGAGAGAAGGGGTTGGAGATGAGGGAGTAGGCGAGTACGACCGCGAGTACGATGAGGTAGTTGACGCTAAAGTAGGCGGCATTGGTGAGCGAGGTCGGCCTGGTGAAGGCAGTGCGGTCGATGAGCTCGGTCCAAGGGCGGCTGTTGGAGAGAGCGTGGCGATAGAGCGCGGAGATGCGCGTGAGGAAGGGTCGGAGGAATAAGAGTAGATTGGTGCCAGACCGTTGGGATTGCTGGAGGGAAGACTGTTGGGTCGAAACTGGGATCAGGGAAGGCGATGACATTGTTGTAAATAAGTGAGAAGTTCGGGGGTAAGTTTGGAAGAACAGAGATGACTGAAACAAGACTGTGACGACTTTTCTTTCTTCAGAGATAAAAAGGATGGTTTTATAGGATTTGGGGTTGAAGAATCCGAGGCCGTTGATCTAGGGATCGACGGTGAATATTATATTGGATGGTTGAATGTGTTTGGACCCGTTGTTTGCTTTTCTTGCTGTATCAGTTGTGGCACACTGTATGCATAAGCCGTAATCACGCGGATAGATTGCGTCTTTGACCATGAGTAGTTCATCATCTGAGCGATAAGATACCGTTACAGTGATATTTTTGTAAGTTTTTCTTCTCAGAATTCAAGGGTACAATAAGGGGTACGCTATTTGCCACTCAAACTGCTAAAGAAAATGTTATTCGCGAGGTAATGGATTAAGGATTGGTTTGGTATTACTGTGTTTTGAAAAAAAGCTGCTGTGAGAATAAGCAGTTGTGCTATGAGAATAAGCGGATGTGAAATAAATCAGCAGAGTGTTTGGTAAACTTTTTTGTAAAAGTGCTTTTGGAAAAAAAAAACAGTTTGATAGTGGGTCTTTTCATTAAAGGAGTACTGTAGCTCCGTGTGCTTTGAAAAAAAACCAGTTTTCTAAAGCTGCAAATAGCAGCTTCAACTTTTTCTTTGATTTCAGCTTATTCTCGCAGCATCTTCCAAAATAAGCATTTTTTTTCAGTTTACCAAACACCTAAAACCCTCATAATTTTTTTCATTGCTGTTTTTTTTTAAGTACCTCACTCCCAATTCACCCCTAAGACAACAAGGATGTGACCATTCTTATTAGTATTTTCAATGTATTTCTATGTTTACTCAGTGCGTGATTTGCCGTAATTAGAAGTTTCTTATTGTGTCTTTGTTTGAAGTGCTCTTAGAGTGATGATAATAGTTTTAAAACAAAACTTTACACGTGATTTTGAAGCGACAATTTAAATGTATATTTTTTGTGAAATACCGATACACATTTATGGAAAAATGTCGATACTGAGTGAAAACTTTGAAAAACTTTATAAAGGTAGAAACTACACGACTTAAAAAAATACTTAATTGTTTAAGCATTCATCGATTAAACATATAATCTTTATATTGATGTGGTTTAAATTCGCAATTAGAATCAAACTTATGAAAAATTTATTAGTAGATGGTTTAAGAAATAGATCGTTATTTTCATTCTTGCCATAGATTATAAAAACTATAAAAGCATTTAAAAGAGCTTTTAGTTTTTGTTATTTTTAAACATTTAATGTGATTTTTTAACAAACGATATTATTTATATTAAAGAGGAGGAAATGGGCTTAACTTCAAATAAGCTAACAATAATCTGATCTAAATTTATTTTTAATGAAAATCTAATTTAAAATTTCTCATTCATTAATAATGATAAATATCATTAAATCGTAATATTAAATGATTACCTTTAATGTGATTCCTATGAACGCAAAAGCACTTTCAAACCGACTGCAAGAAGAGCACACAGTGAAAGAAACCCCTTGAGTTTTTTTTTCTTCCAGATTCTGATGTGGGAATCGACGTCTTTTCTTTGAACACCCAGTCATCTGTTTATGCTTTTGACCACCAAAGCCGAAGCCTCCTTTGTGGGCTTTTACTTTACTTCATTTGTCCAAATCCAAATAAAGTCCAATCCTCAAAAATACCCATTCAACCTTCTCTCCCTTCTTTAGTCTCCACCCACCTCTCACTCTCTCTTATCCAATCTATTATATTTATACCTAATTTATAATTAATGAGATCGAACTCGTACTAGAATATATATGCATAAACGAAAAAACATTATTTTGTGAGTTGGATTAGTTGATCACTCATTTTTTCTACATTTAAGCTCAGACCGCAATCCAACTATGCATAAGTAGTAAAATGTCATTTGGTGAGTTAGGTTAGTTGATTACGATCGTTTTTTTCTAGGTTTAAGCTTGGACCGTAATCTAACTATTCAAAATTAGAATAATTCTGATGAGAATGAAGCTCAACTTTCTGTATATAAAATTAGAATAATTTAGAATACTGTTTTATTCGGAATGAAAAATATAGAAAAACTTGCAGTCCCGAAAATCTAGAAAAAGCAAAATAATTCAAAAAGTCCAGACGAAAACCTGCCTTTCTCTTTCCCTCTTCAATCTTCATCCGTTCCCCACCACAAACCGCGTGTTTTCCAATCACCTTCCGCGAACCTCTAAATAATACTATTCAACTGCTTCTGCTCACCCTCAGTGCTTTTAGCTTCTGGCTTTTGGCTTATTGCTTATTGGTTAATACCCAAAACGGAATTCTGAAATTCTGAAATCCAAAAATCCCAAAAATTAAAACCAATTTTCCTCTCAATTTCACAACCCTAAAAGTTTATCTTCACCGAGGCATCAAATCAAACACTTGGAGGGCACTCTCTGATACTGCAGTACAATGGCTGAGAACGGCGAAGAGAAATTGTTGGCTATGGCGCGCCACATAGCCAAGACTCTGGGCCACAACGATAATATGGCCGACGATATTTTGCAGATTTTTTCCAACTTCGACGGTAGGTTCTCTCGCGAGAAATTGGCTTCCGACGACGAACGAACTCGGAGCTGTGCTGCTCTCGAGCTTTCGCTGAAGTCGCTGGACCGTCAGATCTCGCAGTATGTGGCCACTGACCACCCAATCTGGTCCGACTCCGCCGATTCCGCGGCGTTTCTTGACTCGATCGACGAGCTCATCGTTACCATCAGAGACTGGACTCCGATGGCCGACGACAAGTCCGTCAGCGTCTGCCTGACGGGCGCCGAGGATCTTATGCAGCACGCTATGTTCCGGCTCGAGGACGAGTTCAGATCCTTGGTCGAACGCGGCGCCGAGTCACGAGAATTGACTCGGGCGTTTCGCGGCGAGTCGAATGGCGCGTTGTCGTTTGACTCCGGAGATGATGATGAAGAAGAAGAGGAGGTGATCGGGGACGGTGAGGAACACCAGATCCCTGTTGCGCAGCCGATTGGCGACTACGACATCGTGATCGACGCGCTTCCTTCTGGAACCATCAACGACCTCCATGAGATCGCGAAGCGGATGGTGGCGGCGGGTTTCGGAAAGGAGTGCTCGCACGTGTACTCCAGCTGCCGGAGAGAGTTCCTGGAAGAGAGCTTGTCGAGGCTAGGGTTGCAGAAGCTGAGCATCGAAGAGGTCCAGAAGACGCCATGGCAGGACCTGGAGGACGAAATCGAGCGGTGGATCAAATCAGCAAACGTCGCGCTTCGGATTCTGTTTCCGAGCGAGCGACGACTCTGCGATCGCATCTTCTACGGCCTCTCCTCCGCCGCGGACCTCTCGTTCATGGAGGTTTGCCGAGGCTCGACTATTCAGATACTGAATTTCGCCGACGCGGTGGCAATAGGGAGCCGATCGCCAGAGCGATTGTTCAGGATTCTCGACGTGTTCGAGACTTTGCGGGATTTGATGCCCGAATTCGAGTCAGTGTTCTCCGATCAGTACTGCTTGTTTCTCCGGAACGAAGCGATTACGATTTGGAAAAGGTTAGGCGAAGCGATCAGAGGCATTTTCATGGAGTTGGAGAATCTGATCAGTCGCGACCCTGCGAAAACTCCAGTTCCTGGCGGCGGATTGCATCCAATCACTCGATATGTGATGAATTATCTCCGGGCAGCTTGCCGATCGCGCCAGATCCTCGAGCAGGTTTTCGAGGACAGTGCTGCGGTCTCTCATCAACCCAAGGTTGATGACCGAAGCTCGTCCATGTCCGTACAAATGGCGTGGATTATGGAGCTTCTGGAGAGCAATTTGGAAGCCAAGTCAAAGATTTACCGGGACTCTGCTTTGTGCTATGTTTTCATGATGAACAATGGGAGGTACATTGTGCAGAAAGCGAAAGACAGCGAGTTGGGATTGCTATTGGGCGATGATTGGATCCGAAAACACACTGCGAAAGTCCGGCAGTACCATGTGAATTACCAGAGAAGCTCATGGAACAAGGTGCTTGGAGTGTTGAAGCTCGATAGCGGCTCATTGGCGCCAAGTGCTGCGGTCAAGTCCATGAAGGAGAAGCTCAAGTTGTTCAACATCTACTTCGACGAGATCTGTAAAACGCAGTCCAATTGGGTAGTTTTCGACGATCAGCTCAGAGGCGATTTGATAATTTCGCTTGTCAAAATCTTGTTGCCAGCGTATCAGAGCTTCATCGGTAGGTTTCCGAATGTTCCGGAAATCGGATGGCATGATAAGTACATTAAGTATGCTACTGAGGACGTTGAAGCTAAGATCAATGACCTGTTCCGCGGCAGTAGAGGATCCGCCGGCGCTGGTGGTGGCCGGAAGTGAAGAAGCTAAAGCTGCTAGGGACGATTCGCCTTGTATGTAATCGAAAACAAGTTTACAGAAAGTTTTGTTTATGAATTGAAAGCTTTGTAATCTAGATGTTTGGTTGTGTTTAAGTACAGTTTTATTTCTATCTGTGATAACTAGACGTCGAAGCCAAGATGTCGATCGGAAACCGGTTTTTCGCGTCTGAAAAGCTCCCCGAACGGGAGTATGGAACTGGAACTGCATTATCAGTATCGATCATCTGCCCGATAGGGATGGCCGGACCGAGTAATCGACGGCCGCGATTGATTACGATAAGCAAACTTGGGAAGCACATTCTTCTCTAGGTACTTTGAGAGGTACTGGTAAGTTGCTTCGGTTGGATGTATGCTATCCCAAAACAAGTACTCCGAGTCATCGGCGCATACCGGAGTCAGTGCATTGCACAAAGGCCCTGCTTCCACAAACCCAGTACCGCAGCAACCTCTTTTCGTTACCACAAAACCTTATAAGAAAAAATTACGAAATTAGGATCTATATGCTCTGCAGACATAGTACCAGTGTAATTTAGATAAAGGGGACGGATCTATAGCATCATTTTTTTACATCATTTTTTACACACGTTTATGTGAGGCCTATCCCGTATTGTATCTCAATGATCTGGTCTGCCCCAAAAAATTATGTCTACCAAAAATCACCAAAATTTGATACTATATGATCATTGGATTATGAGTTTAGGATGTCTTTGCAGAACCGTATTCGTCTATTTTCTTCATTACAAATGAATGTCTTAATGGTTTTGGATTTGTCTTATTTTTTGCAAGAAAATGATCTATAGCATCACTTTTTGTCATAATTTTTTACACACGTTTTTGTGAGGCCTATCCCATATTGTATTTCAATGATCTGAACTGTCTATGTTTTAGGTCTTCTCTAAAAAATCATGTCTACCAAAAATCACCAAAATTTGATACTATATGACCATTGGATTATGAGTTTAGGATGTCTTTGCAGAACCATATTCGTTTATTTTCTTCACTACAAATGAATGTCTTAATGGTTTTGAATTTGTCTAATTTTTTGCAAGAAAATGATCTATGAATAACGTTATAAAAAAAATAGGCACTTCGGATCATAAAATACATTGAAATGGATTCCACAAAAACATGTGTAAAAAATTGTACTACAAATCCGCCCTTAGATAAATAATTTAATATAAATGTTTCTTACCAAATTTATGTGGATTGTTGATCATGTCAATCAACGGCTCATAGACATCTAAATAAACAATTCTGCTCCCTGGCAACAGTGACTGCATTTTCGACAATAGTTTGACAAGCTTTTGATTGTATATTTGGGAATCTGAATTCTCATCATCTACACATCGTCCATCTTTTGGTTTCCCAAATTTTACAGTAACTTGTATGGGAAGGCAACCAACTGGAGGAAGCCCTGCTATTGCCATTTTTCTGCATCCAAGCTCATACAGTTCCTACATATATACAGATATAAAAACACATCAAAGTACTACCTGTTCAATATAATACGAAAAATACTCGCGTCTTGATGAGGAAGGAGCTATTCATCTTACGTACAAATTGCAGTTTGATATATGCTCATAAATGTTCAATCTGGTGATTTTTGATGAATTATTTATGCATACATGTCAGATTATGATTTGTAAAAAAGAATGACTAAGCGAAGTTTCTGCAAAACGGTGATCTTATATAATAAATATTATAATCTTTTCACTGTGTGAAGGGAAAACTGATGTTACAGAATGGTTCTTGTAACTATGCATGCTTCACATGTTTAAGATTTTTCTGAAAGATCCAAATTCAAGTTTTGAAAAAGTGCGGCCCAAGACAACAAGACTTCTCACTTGGCGAGAGTTGTCGGAAGGAGGAATGTTAATCGTACACAACCTTACCCTTACTTTGCAAATATGTTGTTTCCACGACTCGAACTCATGCCATTTCAATCACAAAAGAGCAACATTTCCGTTGCATCAAGGCTAGCCCTTTCCAAATTGAAGTTTTCAAAAGAAAAAAAATATCGCAGGTGAAAATATGCACGTGAAAGGGATGGGAATTTACCTCAATAAATATGTGTAGCTTATTCAGCAGAAAATCTTGGTATCCACTAATGTTGAACTCTAATCTTCTTGTGGGAATGTCATAGAAATTAAAACCAAAGTCATTAGTACCTGCACTTACTACAACCAATGAACTAGTAATCAACTTCTTTGCCTCCTTATCCCCTAAAATCCTCTCAACTCTCACTGCATATTCCTTGAACAACTCAATCTGCTTCGAAAACGCTAGGATTCCGGCGCCAGCAGCGGTTATATCATCGTATCCGGATCCACCTGACGCGAAGCAGACGCCGGTGATGAGGTCGTTATCCGAAAGGCTCGGGTCGAGAAAAGGAGGAACTGTTTGCTTGATGTTTAAAATGGAGACCAAAAAGTCAGGAACTAGTTTTCCATTGGAGAATCTGCCTGTGGGGATTTGGCCAGGGAAATCTTTGCCATAAGGGTAATGGTTGCCCTTGAACAATGTTTTGAGGTAATTGTTGTTGCCAGTGTCGACTGTTGAATCGCCAAACACTAGAACTGCTGGGAATTTTGGTGCAGGATTTGTGGCATCGCAAGTGTTGGAATTGGAAATGTGCACTAGGAGAAGAATAATAAAGAGTGTTGTGGGTGCCATTTTTGTAACTTGTTTTAGAAACACATATATTTTGGATTTATAGGGTTATAGGCCATCAAATAAAGTGTTGGATTGAGAACCATGAAAGTTAAAATATATGGAGATGAAGGTAGAAACTTGGCATGGATGTCAAGTTATGTATATTTTCTTTAGAACACCACTATGTATAACTAGACCACGTGTTATGGACGAAGTGGTTGATCTTGTACCCTAAAAATGAGTAAGGTCAATTACGTTGTCAACCCATGTACAATACGTGAACATATCATATTAAAATTTTTCCTTTACATAAGTCATTCTTCTTTACATGCAAATCACAGTCTGACACATAAAAACATAATGTGCTAAAACCACAAAAAATATGTTTATATAATCGTGTCAAATTATGATTTTTCGAAAGACACCCATAACCCATCTTTTTCTTAAAGCATTAGTGTTAGTGGGAGTGAAAGGTATGATGCGGTGCATGGTGATTAAATATTGGTCACTGATTTTGTTTCACTGTATGTGCCTTTGGGTGGTTTTCTGAAATTTGGAGCTAAGACAGTGTTGGTACTTGGTATGTGTTGTTTTCGTTTGTGGATGACATTTTCCACTAACTTTGCAATGCTTCTTACGTCTATCCGTCGTGTAGTTGAGGCATCGGTTCTCTTGGTTTGTAAGGGAAACAACAATGTAGAACTTAGAACTTCTCTTTCTTTTTTGTTTTTTCGGTTATATATCTACACTACGACCAAAAATCTTTTAAATGACAACGTTGTAACTACATAGAAGAGGATAAGATAAATGTTCTATATCACGAAAAGATTGTTGTATAAGTATCCAAAAATGCTTCTAAGAGTAATTTGAACTTAACAACCAAGGAAAATATTCTGAGGTTTGATCAGTTTAACTATTCATACTACTTTACTCTCCACCTTAACTAAATGATGAGTATCGTTCAAATATTTCATTTTAAAAAATTCGTTTCATTACTTTCTCTCGTGAATGCATTCCTTCTATATAAGATTTTCTACCCAGTTACCACCAAAGAAATCAAAGAATCATATTGGAGACCTAATCATTATCTGCTGAAATTTCAATGAAACTGGATTTTTTAACCCTTAGACCTAAAATTGGTATCCACAACCACAACATGTTTAGTATATAGAGGGCAGGTGATCCGAAAAAACAAGAGGGGTTGGTTGAGGCTGACCCTTTGCTTACCAATTCCCAACTCAAAAGTTGGGCTGGAGTTATGGAACAAACCTTGGGCTCTATTGGTTACAATTAAGAAACATAAAAAGTCCATGTGTGTTAAAAAATAAGAAACATTTAACGAAGGACAGAACTAAAAATTGTCAAGGGATGCTAAAAACTTTCTTATTTGAATATTCTCGTTCTACATTTTCAGATCTCCTTTTCGTTCTGCAATGTTATATAACGATTTGAACCTTATATTTTATGTATGTGATAATATTAATCATTAAAATCAGGCCCAAACAAGTGCAAAGTACAAGAAAAATTGTGTATTTTGTAACACTCTATAGCGGTTTGACGGTTGCCCAAAAAAACTAAACTTATCATATGTTGAAAAAATATCTGAAGCTGAAAATGGGGATTATAGCAAAATTTCACCCTTACCATAAGTGTAGATACAAGTGAATTAGTAACAAATTAATAATTAATGTTTCTGAAAAAAAAAAGTCTTAAAAGAATTGGAAATTGACAAATTGTTCATCTGCCCATTTCCAAGTGTCTTTTAAAAAAAATAAAAAATCATAGCATTTGCTCCCAATCCACCATATTATTGCAGGTCAGTTTGCATCTTTGCTACTTAATTTTATGCTCAACAGTCAATATGTAAATCGTATATGTGCTGTCCGGAAACTTGAACCATAGCTTACAACATATCTTTAAACTGGTAGTTGCAGTGACATGCTTCGATTTAAACTCAATTAAATCTCTGCATGCATGCATGACGAAATACGGTGCAAATATACTATTTCACTTGCAAGGGATGAGATCAGTAGATATCTCACCTGCTGCACATTCAATAGGAATCAAATTTTTATAACGATTTAATTTGCTGACAAAATCTGCAGTATCTAAGCACTGGTGAGAAAAAGATCTCAAGTTGTATGCCTAAAAGATCGAGCAGCTTCTCTAATAAGAAGGAAAAGGACAGCAGCTTATTTCGATCACGTCATTTTGGAAATACGACAATGTGCTGATCTTTTTGATGTTCACTATAATGTTATTTCAGGATTTAGGATGAGCTCGAGTTTAGGGTTTATGTTTTTTTGAGGTGCAACGATAGATTTTTTTTAATTTTTTTAATACAGGATCAAGGTAGGGTTTATGTTAAAAACATAAGGATAAGTCTAAATAGGACAATGGTAGAAACAATTGAAATAAGCCATTCCTGTAAGAAGAATGAAGTGGAAAATAGTGGTCCAAGTGAAAAGGATATCAATGATTAAACCAATGCCACATGTCAAGAGACTACAAAGGCTGGTATATTAGTTGGAATCTTGGTTGTCAGAGATATAGTTAGTTGGAATAAGGAGATATTCGGTTGACATAAGGAGGTAGTTAAAAGGAGGTTTACTTACTCTGTAAGATTGAGTTTTGGAAACACTTATATAAGTGTGGATTGCAAAACAATAGAAAGTAAGAAAGAAAAGATTACATTTACGTCTAACAATCTCTCTCAATATTTCATACTATTTTCTGTTCTTCTCAAGTTCATCCATTCTGCTATCTTTACATGGTATCATCGCCGGCCGATCGATCCGGTGCTTCCGCTCAGTCTCTAACACATTTCTTTCTCTTCTACACCCTCTAGTTTGCATTTCTGTGTGAATTTTGGCGTCAGGAAATATACAAGGCGCTTAGAAAATTGGTTTCTTCTCGTCTGCCCACCAACTATTTGATTAAAAGCATCAATGAAAGTGTTCTTCAAGAATTTGCAAAAATGGTTACAGCTGCTCAGCTGCAGATTGTTCAATCACCCATCACCAATCTTTTCTCCCCAATCTCCACTTCGGTCACAGTGAAATTGGATGACTCCAACTATATTACTTGGAGTTTTCAGGTCCGATTGCTTCTGGAAAGTCATGGGATCATGGGACTTGTGGATGGTTCAAGAAAGTGTTCATCAAGATTTGATAATGATTTGAATGCTGAAGGGGTCGAAAATGATGAATACCTGGTCTGGAAGATGCATGATCGTGCATTAATGCAGTTGCTTATTACTACACTGTCTTCGACTGCCATGTCCTGCATCATTGGGAGTAAGAGTCCTTGTGAGATGTGGCTCAATCTCACCGAACGATTTTCTGCTGTTACAAAGGTTACAATTTTTTAGATGAAGACAAAACTTCATAACATCAAGAAAGGGTCAGAATCTGTGTCTGTTTATCTTAAAAAAATCAAAGATGCAAGAGATCATCTTGCTGCAGCTGGGGTAATTTTTGATGATGATGATATTATCATCTTAGCGTTGAAAGGTTTATCTGCAGATTTCAACACATTTCAATGTGTGATCAGAGGAAGAGAAAATGGTATCTCTCTCAAAGATTTTCGGTCTTAACTATTGGCAGAAGAAGCTATCATTGAGCAATCTTTTGACAGTTCTTCTGGATTGCCTTTTGGTAGTGCCATGGTTGCTAGCACTCAATCTGATAAAGGGAAAACTCTTGTTCTCGATTAAGATTAACCAAGGTCTTCTTCTGATCAGTCATTCAAGTCAAATGGAGGATCAAGTTCTGTTAATCATAGTTATGGACATGGGTCATATAACAATTTCAATGGTGGCTATTCTAACTATGAAGGATATAAAGGGAATAATTTCAGAGGCAAAGGCAAAGGGAGATTTCAATATACTATTGGTCCTAGATTTTCAAATGGTAATCCTGGCATTCTTGGTACTCAACCATACCAATCTCACTGCCTAGATCATCCAGCTGACATTCCTATATGTCAAATATGCAATAAAAAGGGCCATGTTGCTGCAGACTGTTTTCAAAGGCATACTACTTCAACCTCGAGTTGTCCTACCCCTACTCAATGTCAAATTTGCTGGAAATATGGACACACAGCAGTTCAATGTTATCACAGGGGTAATTTTGCATATCAAGGAAGGCCTCCAACTGCTCATCTCTCTGCAATGCATGCAAATCATCAACCATAAGCACTATCTGAACAGTTTTGGATTGCATACACTGGTGCTACATCACATATGACATATGAGTTGGCAAACTTGGAGCTATCTACTCCATATCAGGGCATAGACACCATTACCACTGCAAGTGGTGCAAGTTTGAGTATTTCCAATATTGGTACCTCTAAATTGGTAGTTCCACAACACTTTCTTACACTTAGGAATGTTTTACATGTTCCAAAACTTTCACAACACCTGTTATCTATCTATTAACTCTGCAAAGACAATAGATGCATATTCATTTGTGATGATGTTTCTAATGGGATTCAGGATAAATCCACAAGGAAGATCCTACTTAAGGGGCTGTGTAGAGCTGGTTATTAACCTATACCATTCAACATTTCACAGAAGACATCATTTACCCTACCTGCATCACATTCATATTTTCTTGCAAAACCAATTCAGTCAAGCATATGGCATAAAAGACTAGGACACACATCCAATACAATCACTTCTGCAATTCTACTTCAAACTCAAGTCTCTACATCAATAGACCATGTTCATCGATCTGCACATCATGTTTAGAGGGAAAATTTACCAAGTTACCATTTGATTTTCCTGTACACAAATCTGTCATACCATTGGAAAAAATACATAGTGATGTATGGGGACCTGCCCCTTTACTTTCATATGAAGGATTTAGGTATTATGTAACCTTCACAGATGATTGTACTCAATACACATGGATTTTTCCATTAAGAAATAAATCAGAATTGTTTGCAACCTTTGCTCATTTTCATGCCTATTTGTGTACACAATTCTCTGCTATAGTTAAAGTTTTCCAATTTGATGGGGTGGTGAATTTACAAGCATTAAGTTTCAACAATTTCTATCACATCATGGTATTTTACATCAAAAATCATGTCCTTACACACTTGAACATAATGGATTGGCAGAAAGAAAACATACACATTGTAGAAACAACAATTACACTTCTTCAAACTGCAAAAGTGTCAGACCAATTCTGGTTTCATGCATGTAGTATTGCTTCTTATTTGATTAATAGGATGCCTTGTGCTTCTTTACATATGCAATCACCATTTCAAAAACTATACAACATAGTTCCTGATATTAAACATCTCAAAGTTTTTGGGTGTGCATGTTTTCCACTCTTAAAACCTTACAACACTTCTAAACTTCAGCCTAAAACTGCAACTTATGTGTTTCTGGGATATGTAGGTCAATATAAGGGGTTTATTTGTCTTAACATTGCAACTGGTAAAATTCTGGTGTCTAGGCATGTCTTATTTGATGAAAATAGCTTTCCATATTCCACTTCCAGTATGTGTCAACAGTCAAAATTGATTTCTGCATCATCTCCATTGAATGAATCCAATGCACACATCCATTCCTCATCTGTCACTCCAGTCATTACATTAACCAATCAAGCATCTACACCTTCATCTCATTCATTGTCATCTCGAACTACAAACTATTTGCCTATGCATTCATCTAGTGCCTCAGATTCATTGTATGCATCTAGAGCATCAGATTCTTTGGAAACAGTTGCATCTAGTGCTCCAGAATGTGTTTCTTGTCCCACAAATCATATTCCTCCATCACATATATATTGTGACCCTGCAATACATCCAACCAGCTCCACAACACATCACCCTTTCCCTGTGGATCCTGACTTTCAGCAGGAGTAACTAAGTGTTGTTCTACCAATACCAATGAATATACATCCTATGCAAGCCCGATCTAAAAATGGGGTGTTAAAAAAGAAAGCTTTTACTGCTACTATTGCTTCAAAACCTAAAACATTCAAAGCTGCATCTCAAGTTTCAGAATGACAGGTTGCAATGAATGAGGAAATAACTGTTTTTCACTCTCAAAAGACTTGGTCTTTAGTTCCATTACCACATGATAAGAACTTAGTTGGATGCAAATGGATTTACAAAATAAAGAAACATGTAGATGGGTCAGTGTTAAGGTATAAAGCTAGACTTATGGCACAAATGTATAGTTAAGAGGAGGGTGTTGATTACATGGAGACATTCAGTCCTGTTGTCAAACCTACAACTATAAGACTTATTTTTGCATTGGCTGCTCAATTCAAGTGGTCTCTTCGACAACTCGATGTAAATAATGCCTTTTTACATGGCATACTTCAAGAGGAAGTTTATATGGCCCAACCTTTAGGATTTGAAAGTGCCACATATCCTTCAAATTATGTGTGCAAGCTCCAGAAGTCATTATATGGGTTAAAACAGGCTCCCAGAGCCTGGAATGAGAGATTTACCAGTTTTTTACCAAGTCTCGAGTTTCAAGTCTCTCCTGCAGATCCTTCATTGTTTGTGCAATAGTTTTCAAATGGGACAATGTTATTGCTCTTATATGCTAATGATGTTATTCTCACTGGTAGCAGTTCACAATTAATCAGTCAAGTTGTCCAAGCTCTTACTCAAGAATTTGAAATGAAGGACTTGGGACAATTACATTTCTTTCTGGGATTGCAGATTACTTATACATCAGAAGGCTTGTTTGTATCACAGATAAAGTACATCACTGAGTTGGTTGATAAAGTGGATTTACAGGATTCTAAACCATGTAGCACATCATATCTACCCTATCACAGGTTACTTAAGGATGATGGACAACCTTATCACAGTCCTGAGCAATATAGGAGTGTTGTTGGTGCACTTCAGTATCTCACGTTTACAAGACCTGACATAGCGTTTGCAGTTAATCAGGCTTGTCAATTTATACATAATCCTATGGTCTCTCATGTCATTGCTGTAAAGAGAATCATTCGATATCTCAAAGGAACATCTACCTATGGTATTCATTTCAAACCAGGACCACTACATCTGCAATCTTATAGTGATGCAGATTGGGCAGGTGATCCAAATGACAAGAGATCCACTTCAAGTTTTGTTGTGTTTCTTGGTTCAAACCCTATTTCGTGGGTGTCGAAGAAACAACACACTGTGTCTCGATCTTCCACAGAAGCTGAATACCGTGCCCACGCAATTACAGCTGCTGAACTTGCTTGGATTCGACGGCTATTCTGTGATATGCATATTCCTTTACCTTCTTCTCCCATGATATATTGTGATAATATATCCGCTATTGCCCTATCTACAAATCCTATGTTCCATGCTAAGTCCAAACACATTGAAATAGACTATCATTTTGTTCAGGAGAGGGTCACTCGTGGAGATCTTCAAGTTCAGCATGTGCCCTCTGCCGATCAGTCTGCAGAGATACTTACAAAGGGTTTGTCTGCACCTTTGTTTCAGCAGCATTGTGCCAATCTAATGCTCAGTGCTCTCGAGCATCAGATTGAGGGGGGATGTAAGAAGAATGAAGTGGAAAATAGTGGTCCAAGTGAAAAGGATATCAATGATTAAACCAATGCCACATGTCAAGAGACTACAAAGGCTGGTATATTAGTTGGAATCTTGGTTGTTAGAGATATAGTTAGTTGGAATAAGGAGATATTCGGTTAACATAAAGAGGTAGTTAAAAGGAGGTTTACTTACTCTGTAAGATTAAGTTTTGGAAACACTTATATAAGTGTGGATTGTAAAACAATAGAAAGTAAGAAAGAAAAGAATACATTTACGTCTAACAATCTCTGTCAATATTTCATACTATTTTTTGTTCTTCTCAAGTTCATCCATTCTGCTATCTTTACAATTCCAAACTAATTTTCATTCTATAACAATTATGGATTTTGCTAAGGTATGCCGCTCATGCAGAGAATCTCTGAGCATTAATGTGATGTGTATATATACACATGAAACAATACTAAAAAATTGTCAACCTACAACTAATCGTAACACAACTCAACAATTATTTCTCAAAGCGATTGCACTTATGGCCCCGAGAAAAGAAAAAAAAGCTAAAGAAGACATATTGGTTTGGTCAGTTGGTCATATGGTGTATCTTAATTATCCTTTGAGCTTCCATTACCACTTTCTCTAAGGCAGTCCCTTAATAACTCCTTTAAAGCCTTGACGCTGGCTTATGTATTGGCCTGTTGCACTTAGACTTTATATCTTGCTTTCAACTTTTGTTTTTTTGGGTTTTGGGTTTATATCTCTTTTTTTTGTTAAGTAAAGAATAATATTAACTGGGCAAAGAACAGAGAACAACCAAAGAAAACAACAAAGCCTAATCCAGGCATGGGAAGGCGACCAGAAAGCCTAGAGCCTAAGGGTAGCAACATTCCAATTATAAAAGACCATCATGTTAATGGTGGAGGGCTTAACATATCAACTACAAATTCTGCAACCTCTCCCATCTATAATGGTTTCGTATGCTTAATTAAAGCTTTGTTTGGTGTGCTTTACTGTTGCACTAAAAAACTAGTGACCATGTATGTCCATAGCTTCCACTTCTTCCTCGCCCTCATTGAGCTCTCTCCAATAAAATCATGTACTTCGATTTGGAACAGTGCATAATATGTCACTTTGTGCTTGATTCGATAAAGTGGTTTACAGCAGAAGTGGACAGGTCCTTGAGTTGTGATTGCTGCAGTTTGAGAGGTGCATGTTAAGAGATCTTTAAAGTTAAATCAAATAAATTAAATCAATCACACGGACTAGCTAGTTGTTCTTTTTCAATATTAGAAGAGGTCGCTGTGATATATTTGAAAGTTAGCCTTTTCTTTTCTCATGTGAACTCAAAATACAAATTGTTAAAATTAAACCTCAAGTTGTTGCTAAGAGCACTTCCACCGTGCTCTTTTGTCCTGTGGACAGGCTCCATTTGCAATCCATTTCCCTCACAAACTAGCTCCAGCCCATTCGGGCAATTGGGCTAAGGAGGAGCCTGTGGAAGAAAGCAGGCGGGAGTCCAAGGTCCGAGCTTCTGAGGAGGAGTGATGCAAGGTTGACATCAGCATGATGTCAGCCACGTTATAAAAAATTTTGTATCAGGCGCGTGCGAGTGGAGGGCGTGTTACCGACAAGATTTCAAGCAATGGGGCCTGCGTTGCAATCCACTAAGTGGCAGGTGAATCTGGGCCGTTTGATTTCCATATCAATGGTACAGATTGTTCCGATTTTAAAAATTAAGAAAAAGTAGAAATGTTTCAAGGGGACACGTGTCACAATCTTGATTGTTGGATTTCAATTTTTTTTGTAATCCAATGGTTCAGCTTAATTAAGTTAATAAAAAAAATAAAAAAAATAAAAAATTATATATATATTTTTTGTATAAATACCTTACCATTTTCTCTCACCTTACATCACATTTCAATATTTTCAACAATTCTAAACATGGAAGGACACATTGCACGACAGAATTGGTTACAAATCTTATTGAAATCTATCCACAAACCTTGTACTTTCAGATAATGATACATGGACGTGACGAGATCGGTAAAAAATCCTATCCGAAATTAAAAATAAAAATATTTTTATTATTATTTTAGAACATAAAAAATACTAATATTTTATTGGCTATCTCCATGACTATTTAATTTAGGAATGAATATGCAAAAGACAATTACTATTTATTAAAAATAATTACTATTCAGTAAGGATGATTCAATTACCATGGCTCTCCTACACTGAAAGTGCTCTAGGAGCCTCAGACCACAAACATCGATGGTCCTTAAGAAATAAACAGTAAAGTTTCTGGACCATTTGGTGTATGCTTTGTTCTGGAGCCTTGTGTTTATAAAGTTTGTTGTTGGTAATAAATATTTACCCTTTGACCCAAAAAAAAAAAAATTCCTTGATGATCTAGACAGTTCCAACAATCGAGGCATTTTACCTAATTGTACTTAGAAACCATGCACATGACAGGACAATGCATTCCTAGGGTTAGCGTTCAACATGAAAGCACTAGCTTCAGAGCAAAAGTTATAAATGTAAAGTTAATTTCCTAGATAGTATAGGAAAATACACCAATGAGATAAAAAAATAAACACAGCGAGCTCCATCTTTTACAAAAATGTTAATATAACATGTAATGTTGCCTCGTAAAATATTACTCTTAGTTATTAGGATTGTAAACATAAGTACATCACCTTTGTACGAGTGTAAAATTTCATTTATGTTATACCATCGGTTACAAAAATTTATGAATCTTGGGCTTTGCAATATGTTGTATAGAAAATCCAAAATATTTCAATACATTAATCCTAATTAATCCATGAAGAGCAATAAAAGGAACTGAAAGAATCACTTTTTAGATTCTTAACTCTTCCAATTGGTTGATCGAGACTTGGATACAATGAACTGAACTTGGATTTTTTCTACCAATCCCTAAGATTTGTATGTGCATCAAATATTGTAGCTTTTGGGCAACAATGCCAGCTATCAAATGCGTACCCAGAGATAATAACCACTAATTAACTAAAATTATATTAATAAAGCATTAGTTATATAAGTTTCTGGCTATGTCTTGGGAAGGTGGTGGGAGCAAGTACAAAGAGGAGTTTAGGGTAGTAAAGTACTACGACATCTGTTAGGAGCAGAGGCTTCAATCATACTCTAAAACCAATGATGATCAGTTATCAACTATGCATTAATATAATCAAACGATCATTAACCCAAGAATTATAAAACAAGTCTTTGATTAAATAAATTGGACTTCCACCTTGGCTTCAGTGTAAAGACAGACTTGCCTCTTGTTCAACCATGGATAGTTAGCTAGCTTCATTTCGATCAGTCTTTGTATACATGTTGATCAACTTAGAAATTCAGATTCAACCGGGAATCTTATGGCATTTCATGCCTCGTGCGTGCGTCCCTTAATAGCAAACCATTATTATTGTAAATGTTGATTAAGTTAAGGTCGGTGCCTAAATAAGACCTCAGTGCCATGAAGCTTCCTAGTCCAAGCTGGTTGAAGTGGCAGAAGATGCCATCATAAAAAATTAAAAAAAATTAAAAAATAAAAGATGAAAATTTACAAATCATCCACACGAGCAAAGACAAATACTCTAATCAGTTGTCTTGTCATATATTTGGCTAGGGTTTAAGTACCTTAGTCTTGTACTTGCATTGATCTGCGGCTGCCAACAAAATATTTGATGGATTTGAAATCGCATACTAAGGGTGAGTCCATATTGGCAATTGAAAGATAAATAAATTCATGGATTTTGATGTGGCTGTATTTATTTGTGGTAAACTATAATGTAAGAGACTAAGGATAGCGTAAAATTCAACGTGAAGAAACCGCACATAGTTTTTTCGTACAAAACGCAAAAGGAAAGCTAAAATTGTAAGAAGAAATTAAAGTGGCGGAACTGTTCATGATCGGGTGATGTCTTGGCCTTGTTCTATTTCTTCAATTGCTTTAGAATCTATTGAGTGCAAAATCTTGTAATTTTAGACTTGGGGTCTCCCCATAATATAAAACCTACCTCCTTCACTGAGAAGAAACAAACATAGATGATGGGAGACAGAGAGGGTTAATATATACCAAAGGGTTATAAACGGAATCAGGACCACTGACTTTTGTGGATGCTCATTCGAAAAGAAAAAAAATTACTCCCACCCAAGTTAAGAAGTTTCTCTATTAAGATCATACACTGTCCTAATCTACAAAGGCTCAATCCATCTAAATTTAAGTGATTGTTTCATCGATAAGTAAGGTACTATACAAAATCTTATATAGCTCAAAGACCGGCCCAACAATACATATAACATGTTTTGATTAGATTTTTACTCCTGCCACTACTTGCAACTTATTTATAGGAAAAGTACACAAGTAAGGGATATTGAACAAGTTGAAATAACATCTTTTATTTTTTTGGACAAAAGTTGAAATAACATCTATTTGTTACCAAGACAAGCTATATATGTTCAATATACAAAGCAAGACAACTAATTATCTGCCCAATCCCTTCAAACTTAATTGGGTTTTATGTTTTGGATAATTAAATATTAAATCAGCTGCTAATGCAAGCAAACTACATGTTTTTTTGTGTCCATATCTCAAAAAATAATAATTAAAAAATCTAAAAGGGTTTCCATTTTTACTAGCTATAGTAAGCTAGACCTCATAACCCTAATGCCTAGGTCATGCATAGGAGAACAAATGCTAGTCACAATCAGGGTTAGGGACGAAAAACCGTAAATGGAAAGAATAACCACAAACATGACTTTTACCTAATTTATTTTTGGAAGTGGGAATATTGCTCATTAATTAATATTGGTGTGTAATTAAAAAGAGAAATTATAAAAGACACCTGTTCTAAAAAGACAGCTAGATTCTCTGGATTATGTTAGCAGAAAGTCTGAGTCTGAGTTTGAGATGCAAAATCTTCCTCACCAGCGAGAAAATTTTCAAAATATAATTCGGTATATCAAATGTCATAATGTAATTAGTTATAAAATTATTTTTAAAGTTTTCAACCAAAAACACTTCATGTAATGGGTCATGTTTTCGACACACTTAAAAACCTCTCCTCACCAGCAGTGCTGTTAACAATGTCACTGACCAATAAAATCTCAGCGATTCCAAAACATATCGAGGCAAAGAAGCTGTGCTGCTTTCTGCTGAGGCCGACTGGACCAATGATATGTCGATGCTAGTTTGTGAAATTGCTCACCGGAGGGGAAGATAATCACTTTCTCACAAAATAAAAAGCTTGTACCCTACAATTTCTTTTCCGTACCTAATCACTTATAATTTCAGCATAAGCCAAAAGCCATTATTTAAATCTGTCGTTTCCAGTACTGATACCTATATTCGCGATGCAGGACTCGTCATGTTGTGGGAGCCACATCCAACGCCTCTTTGTATTATCTATAATTCCAAATATACCCTCTGATGTATTTTATACGGTTTGGTTCGACAGTATTTATACAGGTGGGGGTGTATAGGAAAAGTAGAAGATTGGGAACCAAGCATGTCTTAGTTGTGTGTGTGTGTTTATCTAGGTGTCAAAATGTTATAAATACGGCTTAATGGCGACTTGCTCCATTCTTTAGGACTAAGATTAGTTCCCTCTTTTTATTTGATTATGGTTAGGATTTAAACAAATCCCCAACCGTTAACTCATTAATATCTGTCAACAAATTTATTTGATTATTGTTTTTTTTTGTTTGAAGGGAAAGAATAGGGGGAGGATACAAGTTTACATGTTTTTTTTCGAGGGTTATATATGATATATATAATAATATTGTAGTTATGAATAAACAAAGTGTATTAATTTGTGACAAATTGAGGTCTTCTTTTAGATGTACTAATTTTTTGCCAAAATGAGAATCATATGGTATTATGTATGGAAACACTTTTTGCTGCTAAAGAGTTAAAAGTAGACTTGTCGATTTCTTACATAACTTGTTAACTCGATTCGAAACGATATGAAAATAACGGGATTAGAGACAACACGTTAACTAATTCGATCGTTATTGGATCACACACATTAAGAACCCATTATTAACGGGCGTTTAACAATTTACCCGTGGAACCAAACATTAACTCATTAATCTATGTGAACAAATTTGTTTGATTATGGTTATGTTTTTTTTATTTTTAAGGGAAAGAGGAAAGGGAAGATACAAGTCTACATGTTTTTATCGAGGGTTATTTAATATATAATTTCGTAGTCCACTTTATGAATAAACAAAGTGTATTAATTTGTAACAACCTGAGGTCTTCTTTAAATGTGTGCCAAAATGAGAATCACATGGTCTAATGTGTGGAAACTCTTTTCACTGCTATAGGGCAAAAAATACAAAAATTTACTCTTATCATATTTCTCATACCACATTTTTAACACACGTGTCACATACGTATATGCAATCAGTCAAATTAGTTCTAGCTAGTACCACTCATAAATTTGTTCAAAATAAATAATGTATAGCTTCAGTCAATATTTGTAATTTTTCTTCAATAGTTAGGACTATTCAATAGTAGGGGAAATGAACGGTCATGATTTAATTGAGAAAATACTATTTTTCTTACTTGCCAATCTAATAAATATAAAGTCGACTATCTAGTAGTTAGGACTATGAAAATTTACCCCAATATTTGATTATAAACCTCACTTAAGTACTCTAAATACTTGTAACTTTAGAGTTAATTTGACATAACTATTAATTACTCATATCGTAATAATATGGATTTATATAACAAAACAGATTCAATACACCCAACTTATTAACTTTGGCGTCCACTTTGAAACAAAGAAACCCTAGCTAGCTTAAACATTTCCCAAAAGGTTCATTATCTCCTAAGCACTTCCAAAAAGGTAAATGCAAGTAATCTCCCATCACTAATTGTATAGAAGGCGGCTTAAGTTAATTAGCTCATGGAAGCAAGACCCACACGCAAAAGATGGCCAAAACAGATAAAACCCAAATAAAAAAAAAAACAAATAAAAAAAATACCAACAAGGACAATTTGGTCATTTGAACACAATAATATCATGCCCTCTGCTATGTTCGTATGAGTTTCAATAATTCCTATATATCACACAGCTATTCCAAACCTTCCATAGCATTCATGCTTTCATCAACCCAAAGACCCCAAAGAAACACAAAAGAAAACCTAAAAACAAATCAAATTAAATCCACAGAGAGAGCTCAAAAACCAGAGATGGGCAACAGTCTAAGGTGCTGTTTGGCTTGCGTACTACCATGTGGAGCCCTAGACTTGATCCGGATCGTCCATTTGAATGGCTACATAGAAGAAATCTCACATCCAGTTACAGCCGGCGAGATCTTAGAAGCAAACCCTAATCACCTTCTCAGCAAACCCAACTCCCAAGGGGTCGTGCGCAAAATTTTGATCCTCTCGCCGGAGTCGGAGCTCAAGCGAGGCAGCATCTATTTCTTGATTCCGTCTTCTTCTGTGCCGGAGAAGAAGAAGAAGAGTAAGAGCAGCGGCAATAAGAAACCCTCAAAAAAGAGCAGCAAGAGCCAAAGCGATAGTACCGACCGTTACTTGACGGAGATTGTGACGGAAAAGAAGTCTATGTCTCGCCGGGATAGGAGGGCTGGCCGTGTCACGGTATGGCGGCCTCATCTCGAAAGCATCACCGAAGATTAACATTTTTTTTCCGGTGATGGGGATATTTTTTTTTTTTTGTGGTACATGGGTTTGGTATTGCGTCTTGTGGATATATTTGGAATTTTATTTGGGGTCTGCGAATAATAATGGCAGATTCTGAATTAAAATTCAGTGTTCATGAGGTCATCATCTGTTTTGTCCTCAAGAAAATCAAGGGAAAAATTATAAAATCATGGCTATATATAACAGAGGAGAGAGAAAAATAAAATGTTCGTAGAAATACAATTGTATTTACACCAAGTTTGTAATCAAGTAAATATGTGCTTCTTCTTTTATTCTCTCTTTGTGATCTCATGATTTGTGTGGAGAAGAAAATAACTGGGCAGCCTAGTGCTCAGGGGGGGGGAAAGATTCCATCAGTTGAAGTGGGGTGTTTAATTTCAGTAATTTTGAGATTTGAAATAATAAATTAAAGAGTATCTTTCGAATATATAAGAGATAAGATAGTTGACTATCATGTAGTCCATATAATTCCATATACTTTCTTTTAGAAGTCAGCATAAGATGGAACTGCTTCCCATGATTAATTTGTCCAAATGAGCAATTTACTTGCTCAATAATAACATTTTGACAAAATTTACAAATTAAATAAAGTATTACTAATATGAATGAGTACGTTTATCAATGTTTAAGTAATAAATCAATTATCAACTTCCATGTCCTTTAGTTTCTAGAATTTTGTTTACAAATTTAATCTTCTTGGCACTACCCTTTTCTAAAAGTTCATTGTCAAATTTAAAATTAGATCTAGTGTATTTTCTATTGAAGGTAATAATAATTTATTACAAAACCATCGAGAATGTATAAAGGATATGCATGTTGAACTTAACAAAGAGATCACACAGCTAAAAATGTACCATATAAATTTACAATTACGAACTCATCATCAATGCATACAATTCCAAACTCATAGAGATCCACATCTAACCAACAAAAAATATAACAACTTTGCGAGTCCTAGAGTACTATTATTATAACAACATCACAAGAAAAAGACAACACCAACTCTGATGATATAGCCGTGACACCATACCATACCAAAATCCTTTGTAAATAGGCGTATAGCACTGCCATAAGTCATTATATATTATTGTAATGGCCATATATATATATGTATATATATATATATGTGATGACTTAGCACAGAATAGTTGGCATACTAGTCCATCAACGCGGTATTGTAGTGCATCTATATCTACAATATATATATGTGTGTGTGTGTGTGTGTGTGTAGTTGGCATACTAGTCCATCAACGCGGTATTGTAGTGCATCTATATATACAATATATATATATATATACACAATATATATATATATATATGTGTGTGTGTGTGTGTGTAAAAATTGCCTAGTCTTGCTGAATTTGGTAAAAGGAATATTGACAAAAAAAAGGGCCGATAAAGAAATATAGAAAGATGTTTTAATCCTTATCTAATGAGGTTAAGACGTGCATTCTAGCTTGTGAGAGCGTTTAATTAGCCAACAAATGGAGGGAATATCGGGTAACAACCTTTTGTAATACATATGAAAAGCAATAGATTATACATTTCTGCAAGTTTAATGATTGTGAGTTCTACGTTTATTCTTAAGCCTAGCTAATGTATTGGCTTAAAAAAACCCTTAAATTAATGAACCACAATAATCTTTTTTTTGGTCAATGAAACTTTTTATAACAAAGTCCAAGAGGACATAGTACAAAGACTCCACAACGAAGGTGAGGAAATAACAACCGCCCCATAAACGGGGTTGGTACAAACGGGACGCTTTATGCAATCAAATGCATTAGAAAAGGTTCCCATCTATACCTAAAACAAAAATTACATAGAATGTGTCTCAGCCTAAAAACTAAGACCTACACAGCCCAAACATGACCACACAAAAGAACCTAAAAACCCTAAAGGAAAATTCACCCGCCACCTCCCCAGCTGCAGAATTGGTGAAGACGACCATCAATCATATCCAAGTAAAACATCTAACATGCCCTGATCCCAAAATCTCCAAATACCAGGATAGGCACTTGTTGACCGACACCTAAGGGTGACGAAGTCATTTAAAACATGCATACAACTAAAATATGCATTTAGAAAGAGATATACCAATGCATAATCTTGTTCAGAGCATACAACTAATCAAGAATAATGTGAAAGAATGAATATAAAAAGGTATGAACAAAGGAAGGGGTCCTAACCTGAAAAGACTCGGAGATCCCTACGCGGAATTGCCCTAATGCCGAGATTGTGTACCTCGATTCTATCTCCTGAGGGGGCTCAAAAATAGAAAAGTTGAGTGGACCAAAGTTTATATTAATACCAATAATAGGAAAACCATTTTATTTAGGAACATACTAACCCCCTGTTTTGAAAACATATATATAATACTACATATTAAGTTTTTTTGAAAATTCTAGCATGCAATGAAAACTTTCGTAAAACATGTATAATGTAAAACCATGCTCAATAATGGTGCTATCGCTGCCCGAAGGCAAATATGTAAATCTCATCATAGTGTACTCTCTAGGGGTATCATAGTCGCCTGAAGGCAGTACCTGTCCCTCACCCGAATGTGAATTTGTATGACACTGGGTTACGTTAGTGAAGAAAACATGGTCTATCACCCGAATGTGAAGCTGTACGACTCCAGGTTATGTCGGAGAAGAGGATATACAACATCACACACCGAAACTAGCCCCAGGCTAGTGAAGCTGGGGGTATATCATCAATATCATCTACTTCTCATTCGCCTTAAGGCAATACCTGTCCATCACCCAAAGATGAAATTGTACGACACTGGGTTATGCCAATGAAGAAACCATGGTCCATCACCCGAAGGTGAAGCTGTACGACTCCATGTTACGTCTGAGAAGAGGTATATACATAAACATCCTCAACTGTGTCCTATGGCCATAGACATTTACATACCCGTGTTGTGTGGATGTGATGTATGATAACCCGCTAGATAAGCACCAATAACATCCTAAAATATCTCATATCAAATACGGAGCTCAAAAGCTCAAAAGCTCATCTCATAAATCTATGATAACACATATTCATAAATCCGTAAAATACATCATATTCAAAAGCCATAGAATTTCATATACGAGAATCTAAATATTCATAACCTTTTGTAAAACGTAAATTCGAGAAATCATAAATATTTCGTAAAAGAAATTTAAATAAATTGTAAGTATGGAAATCCATAAAACATATTATAAATAATGCTCTATTCATGAAATATGCAATGCATGCAAGCATAATATTTTATAAAAACATGTAAGTTTAGAAAGGGTCCACTCACAGTATTCCATTGCCCGTAAACTCTCGAACTAGCCAGGATGGTGCCACTTCCCACCGACACACCTACACATATAGGGACCATTTAGTAAAACTTTATTAAAACGGTTGAATTTCAGAAAACGGATAGTGGATTTGGATTTGGCATGTCAAAAAACCTAAAGAGGGACCTCGAGTTCCTCTACGCGTCTCCACACGCACGGTCACAAGGCGAGTTGCCAAGACGGCTACGACCCACCATAATGCTGCCGCCCGGACGACCACGAGCGGCCACGCGCAGAGATGGGTCATTGAAAAGTTCACCGGAAAAGTTATCGGCACAATACATTCAGCAGAGGCGAGTGTGCTTCACGTGCCGGCCCACGCACGAACATGAAAGTTGTCTTAGGTCCCGATCGGGTTGGATCTGTGTTGGGTTGCTGGATTGGGCAGGGGTTACTCGGTTGGATTGGGTTAATGGGTTGGGCCTGATACTGGTTTGGGCTTAGGTTACATAGGCCCAAGGTTTGGGTTATATGGCCCAGAGGTTTGGGCTGAGTTAATGGATTGGGTTCCTGGATTACGGGTCAGGTCCACCCGATTAGGTTTGCGGGTGACACCCACCAAATTTGAGGAAGAAGAAGGTTGTATTTCAGCTAGGAAATTTCCTGAGCTTTAAATGAGCTCAAATCTTAACCATTTCCTACGATATAAAAGCCAAAATAAAGGTAGGGAGATAATGAATGAGATTATACCTTTGTGGTCCCTCATAGTGGCTGAAGCTGGCCTGAAAACGGCTTGAAAACTGTCGGGTTTTTCATCGAAATCTGGAAATTAACCTCCCGAGTTGTTTTCTTTACAAACCTTCACCACAATGCCTAAGATGGGTCAATTAGGGTTTGATCGATCTACAATGAAGGTTAGAGAGAGAAAGAGTCTCGAGGCTTACCCATGTCAGAAACGGCGAAACTCATCGAAAAACTCCTTGCACAGTGATGGTGTAATAGTGTAGTGAGAAAGAAAGATGAGGAGAGGCTTCAGACGGTCTGGGGTCGTGAGGGGGAGGTCTCGAATGTGGTGTGGTCGCCGGAGTATGAGCCACGGTCGTAGTGAGTGGTGGTGTGTTCAGAGGGAAATGTTACAGAGATGAAGAAGAGAAAATGAGAGGTAGCTGGGAGGAGAGATAAGAGGTGAGGGGGTGAGAAAGAGTGTGTCACGGGAGAGAAAAGAGAGGGAGAGAGTTCCAGAGAGAGGGAGAGATGTCACGGAACAAAGGAACACCCCAGAAACTAGGGTCACCTGCCACGTGTCAACCTGAGAGTGGTCCAAGGTGGAAAATATCTCGACTTGAAAAATTACCAAAATACCCTTATTGTTTTGAGTCCGGTAAAATATTCGTTTAACTCCAAGTTCGATTTCGCTCGTGCCCACGCGTTCGTAGCAACGAGTGGTACAAGGATACGCCAAGAAAACGGATCTTACGTAACACGACAAAGCGGTCAACCAAAGTCAACGTTTTTGCCTCGAAGGGCATTTTCCTAAATTCACACATTAAAATTATAAAAACCGTAATAATTGGGGACGGGTCGTTACAACATCCGTAGAAAGAAAAAGTCAAGCCTATATTTGTCTCAACATAGGTGAAAATGAGCCGAATCTGCAGATAAAGAGAAACCATGCACATTCCAGTTTCCACATATCGAGTCCTC